TGTAGCAGTAGCAGGTGCTCATTGAAGACTGGTTGAATAAATGATTGTTAGTAGGCGAAAACTGGTAATAGATGAAGTTTTGGTAATTCTTCAGTGGGTGCCATAATTCTAAATATTTTGGATTTGGGAATCTAAAGATTGGTCTAATTAGATTTGATAGGCAATTTGACCAGTGAATGTGTTTAGCAGCAGAATTTGTGTGTTTTGAGCTGCTACTTCATATTGTTATTGCCAGGCATTTTCCTTTATTGCCTGTGGTGTTAACTTGTTGGATGCTTTACTTTGTGAAATACATTATTTCTCAACATCATGGTAAAAGGGATAATGCACTTTGTGTTTTCAACTTGTAGAATATGTCCACTTGCCTAGAGTGAATAACTGCATGACGGTGAGTTGTTTAGGCTAAACACTCGTTTCATTAGTTTTTTTGTTGTTGCTGTTTTGTTTTGATTTGTTTTGGTCTGTACTCCCTGACAATAAAGGCTGGGAAGAAGGCCATCAGGTCAATGTGTATATGTGTGTGTGCTTTGGAAGTAAAAACACTCTAGGACTGGTTTAAGATATTTCAAAAGCATGTAAAGAAATATGATTGGTGGGTTGGACTCCTGCTGTAGTGTCAAGGCGAAAAGATGAATATGCTTTATTGGTACTTTAATTTCTGTAGACTAGAATGTTGGTTTAAGTACTAACATTAAATTCCTAGTATAAGAAATAACTCATTCCTCTATTCATCTATTGAATACTTTGTAGGTAATAATACTGTTGATGGTGTAAAGACATTTGATTACTAGCTTAATTTTCTAAAATTACAGATTTAAAAAGGCTTATTCACCGGAAATTAAGTACTTTCCTTTTTTGGAGAAAAAGTGTGAGTGAGTATGTAAGGTACTCACATGACATTACTATAGGGCTGACAACATGTTAATATGAAATCAAAATCATCTAGTTTTGCCCCTGGCTGGTGTAGCTCGGTGGATTGAGCGTGGGCTGGGAACCAAAGTGTCCCAGGTTCGATTCCCAGCCAGGGTACATTCCTGGGTTGCAGGCCATAACCCCCAGCAACTGCACATTGATCTCTCTCTCTCTCTCTCTCTCTCTCTCTCTCTCTCTCTCTATCTCCTTCACTTCCATCTCTAAATATAAATAAATAAAATATTAAAAAACAAAAAACAAAAAAAAACCTGTACTTAAAAAAAAATCATCTAGTTTTGCTTAAGCTAGAGGTATTATCTGAATAAGGCATTTATTTATTTTTATTGTTAAAATTCAAAGTTATGTCAGCCTATAGGTTTTTGACATACTTTGCCAATACCTTGAGAAGGATTGTCCAGACAACTGATGTAGAACAGACATTTGGTAAATTTCTGACAGCACCTTGAAGTCAAGCATTTGCTAATTAAAAAAATAAATAAATCATAGTTGAAATAGAATAGTTCTTGAATTTAACTCGTGTGAGACTTCTGAAGATACTTAGCTGGAATTTTGAAATGTAGAACCTCTGATGACTACAGAAAGTGAAAGCTCTGTTGTTATCCTGGGCTTTAGAAATCTGTCTTCCTATGAAACATGTGGGGAAGGAATTCAGTATTGATAGTAAAGATTCCAGAAACCTAAATATAACAAAGAGAGCCATACCCTATGTGAGGCCAATCCTGGAATCAGTCCCATTTAAAAACCATTATTATGTGCTAGACACTGGGAATAAGATGCAGCCCCTTCTCTCTTGGAGTTCACACGCTAGAGGTTGTGCCGGACAGGAAACAAGGAGTAAAATAAGATAGAATCTAAAAAGGGCTGTGAGGGAAGTAAATTGGGTGCCAGCTGTAGTGCCTGAAGAAAATGATTCAACACGCCGTCTTTAACACCCAGAGTGTCTTCCCCCTCTGTGCGCATGCGGGGGGCGGGGGGAGGGGGCTCAAAGGGCCATCGTCACTTTTCTAGATTAATGGCTGCATTGAGCCAGGAGGGAGGGGGACAGTTTCCTGACCGTTGTGAAGGGCTGTTCATCTGGTCTCATACCGTCTTTCCCAGGCTGAATCACTCACCCTCCTGATCCCCACCCACAGAAATATTGGAGTCCTCACTGATTCAGTGGTAGCCCCTGTCCAATTGAGTGGTGAGTGAAGGATCAGGTGTGGACGCTGAGGATTTGAGGAAATGGCAACATTTTAAACTGTAAAGCGTGTCCCCCCTCCTGCCACCCACACTGGTGTTTATTCTGTAGGTCAGTGACTTTCTTGGAAGCAGTATGGCCAAAGGAAGAATGTTGCTCAGATTTCAGCTTTAGGTAGGAGTTCAGATTGCAGGAGCTGGACTAGCACTTCTGAATTTCTTAGGATGCCAGGCCCTGTGGCTTCCTTGGGAAGCTCTGCGGCACAAACTGCCCCCCTTCCCCCTCTCTCCCCACAACTTTCCATCACCCCTGCACTCCTGGAGTCTGGGGCCACCTGTGTATGCAGGCCCAGTTCTGCCTCATCGTGAGGGGGGAAAGGATCCCTTGGTCTCTAGGGATTCTGGTAAAAAGGCTTGCTCTCCTGCAGTCACTCTCAACCCAAGACTAATATAGGTTGGCAAAATAAAGGTTGGAACCTGAGGCAGGGAAGGGGTGCCTCGTTGCTAAGGAGCACGTGCATGACACAACGGCCAATTGTGACACAGCTGCCAATTGTGACACAGCTGCCAATTGTGACACGGCTGCCAATTGTGACATGGCTGCCAGTTGTTGGCTCCTGCTTGAGTGGTGCCTGTGCCTCACTTGCTTGTGGGTGGCTTGTTGTGCCCCACTTGCCTTGGTCACTCATTGTGTCTCTCAGACCTCTGCCGTCATGTCCGGGCTGTACCTCTGGGCCCCACGGCTCCTTTTCATGTGGCAGCTGTTGTGGCTGCTGGTCCACGCAGCTCCAGCTCAGTTTCCGAAGTTGGCCCTGGACCCTGTTCTGACCTCCATTTCACCTGAGGAAAACGGACCATCTCCAAACCCTCAGGAGATCCCAGCTCAGGAACCAGAAGTCCCTGAGGTAGGAGAACCATATTCTATCGAGGAAGAGGCCTCAACTCAGTCTGCAGTATCCCCTAAGTTGTTAAAATCTTTGTTTGTGAATGGAGTTCAAGAGGAGCTTCCAACTACTCCTGAGAATAGTGACTCTTCAATTGAGCAAAAGAGTTCAGCTCTGCTGCAATTTCCTCTTGCCAGTGTAGAACCTCCTCCATTCCGGCAGAAGGGTCCAGCTCAGCATCCAAAAAACTCTATGTATCTTAAGATGACAGTCTCACCTCTAGGTTCAGGTAGAGTTCGATATCCAATGTTGCCATATATGATAACACCACTGCCTCCTAAGAATATTAAATTATTGGCAACTGCAAAGGAGGTCAGGGCTTATTTTGCAAAATTTCCTGAGGCAGTTGAACCTCCAAGCCGGGAGGAGGTCCTTCCAAAGCTCTCTGAAACAACAGAATCATCTTCATCCCTGCCTACTTCAGAGGCTGATGCTACAGCCTTGCAGCTGACTATAGGTCCTTCAGAACACCCTTGGGAAACACTTCCACATCAAGAACCTGTTCAGGCTCAGCAACCAACCTGGTCTGAGATAACAGGTTGGCCTCTGAACCTAGAGCTCACCATAAAGCCAGAAGCTGCTGTGGAGGGTGAACATCAAACAGCCCTGAAGCTGACTATACCTCCTCCAGAACACCCTCATTTGACATTTCCACATCCAGAGCCTGTTCGGGCTCAGCAGCCACCCTGGTCTGAGATAACAGGTCGGCCTTTGGACCTGGGGCTCACCATAAAGCCAGAAGCTGCTGGGGAGGGTGAACATCCAACAGCCCTGAAGCTGACTATACCTCCTCCAGAACACCCTCATTTGACATTTCCACATCCAGAGCCTGTTCGGGCTCAGCAGCCACCCTGGTCTGAGATAACAGGTCAGTCCTTGGACCTGGGGCTCACCATAAAGCCGGAAGCTGCTGTGGAGGGTGAACATCAAACAGCCCTGCAGCAGACTACAGCTCCTCCAGAACACCCTCATTTGACACTTCCACATCCAGAGCCTGTTCGGGCTCAGCAGCCACCCTGGTCTGAGATAACAGGTCGGCCTTTGGACCTGGAGCTCACCATAAAGCCAGAAGCTGCTGGGGAGGGTGAACATCCAACAGCCCTGCAGCAGACTACAGCTCCTCCAGAACACCCTGCAGTGACACTTCCACATCCAGAGCCTGTTCGGGCTCAGCAGCCACCCTGGTCTCAGATAACAGGTCGGCCTTTGGACCTGGGGCTCACCATAAAGCCAGAAGCTGCTGGGGAGGGTGAACATCCAACAGCCCTGCAGCAGACTACAGCTCCTCCAGAACACCCTGCAGTGACACTTCCGCATCCAGAGCCTGTTCAGGCTCAGCAGCTAGCTTGGTCTGAGATAACAGGTCGGCCTTTGGACCTGGGGCTCACCATAAAACCGGAAGCTGCTGTGGAGGGTGAATATCCAACAGCCCTGCAGCAGACTACAGCTCCTCCAGAACACCCTCAGGTGACACTTCCGTATCCAGAGGCTGTTCAGGCTCAGCAGTCAACCTGGTATGAGATGACAGGTCAACCTGTCACCCTGATGCTCCCCATAAAGCCACAAGTTGCTGTGGAGGGTGAATATCCAACAGCCCTGCAGCAGACTACAGCTCCTCCAGAACACCCTCAGGTGACACTTCCGTATCCAGAGGCTATTCAGGCTCAGCAGTCAACCTGGTATGAGATGACAGGTCAACCTGTCACCCTGATGCTCCCCATAAAGCCGCAAGTTGCTGTGGAGGGTGAACATCCAACAGCCCTGCAGCAGACTACAGCTCCTCCAGAACACCCTCAGGTGACATTTCCACATCCAGAAACTATTTCTACTCATTACTCAGCCTGGACTGACATGATAAGTCCGACTGTGGACGAGCAATTTATCAGAATGCAGCATCCAATGTCATCTGAGACAGGTCCTCCAACAGCTGAACAGAAAGCTGTCATGAACGTATGTGAGCTCTGTACCTGCAATAATGAGACGCTGTCATGTACTGGTTTCAGCCCAAAGCAGAAGCTCCACAGAGTGCCTATGCCACAGCCCAACACATACAATGGCACCTTCACCACTTTGTAAGAATTGCCTTTCCTTGTTAGTTCTCTGCACCCTGCCTGACATGCCAGCCTTTTCGTCCAGGTCTTCCTGGGCCTTCCTCATCTTTCCAAACCCACTGACTGACTTTTTGTTTTTATGTTCTGTTTGTCATCTACTCCTTCATTCTCCTTCTTACAATCACTCATTCCCTCCTTTACCAGTCTTTCACTTGTAGCTGCTTATTTTTCTGTACTGATGTTTTTAGCCCCATCATTTTATTCCTTAATTTCTACTCTCCTCCCACCTTTGTTCCATCCTCTTTACAGCAGTGTGACCCTCTCTCCATCTGATTGGTGGTGATACAACAAAGTGGTTAAGAGTAGAGATACTAGAGCCAGAGGGTCTGGGGTTGAACCCAGCTGTGTCATGTATTAGTTCTGGGGCTCAATTTCTTCATCCGTAAAATGAAGATTGTGATAGCACCACCTCACAGGGTTGTTGTGAGATTTAGATGAGTTAATATGTGTACAGTACTTATAATAGTGCCTAACATATATCCAGTTATACACAGAACTCACCTTTGCCACCTGACTTTATGTATATATAATCACCCACTTTGTGTCCAACCAGGGCTAAGTACTGTGGGAGCCACAGAAGTATGACATTGTCTATGAAACATGACAATAATAGGTAGGAGGAAAGGAAATATGACTAAAAAGGGAGATGATATATAATTAAGTACTCAAAGATACAGACCAGAGGTGCTATAATTCAGCAGAATCTGTGGTCACTGGGGTATGAAAGTCAGAAGGCTATATAGCTAAGCTCTAACATTGGCAGGGACTTAAAGGGTGGCTATGGTTTCTTACACAGAGAGAAAATAGTGAGTACAGTCTAGCCAAAGGCATGGCTGTAGGGATGATCAGGGCTTAATAGACCAGTCTGACAGAAACCAGTTCCAAAGAATTGGTTTAGGAAGCAGTGAACAAATACTATTATGAAAAACCTTGGCTATAGGGATTTGAAAGTTGCCCTGAGATAGGGAGAGCCACTGAAAGTTTTCAAGTGAGAGAGACAGTTGATTACAACAAGAGGATTATTTTAGATTCCATATGTGGGGTAATCTTGAGAGGAAAGCTTGATTCAGGGAGACCAATAGCGTACTCAAGCAAAATCTAAGGGTAAAATGAGAAGGCGTTGAATCTGAGTGGTTGTGATAGGAGTAGAAAGAGAATCCTGGGAACAGTATAAAGGAAAAACTGAGAAGCTTTAGTAACTGACTGGAGTTGGAGTTGGGCAATGGGATGGACAGGAAAGAGAATTCAAATATGATCCTGTAAAATTTCCATCCTGGAAAATGAGGTGAGTGATGGTGGTGTTACAGGTGTACAGACAGCAGTTGGGAAGGAGAGCCAGGTTGAAGGAGATGAGTTCAGTTTGGACATTTTGAGGGGTGGGGGAGCATAAGGCAACAGGAAGCGTTCTGGTTGAGTGGAAATGTCCACTACATAGACAGACAGACAGACAGACAGACAGACAGGGGTCTGTTTGACTTTTCTTACCTTCCTGAGAAATGTACATAGAAACTGAACAGGTAAGTTGTTGCTGAGGGAAGAGAACAAAGCTACAGGTAAAGAATCAAAGTCATCCACACAGGTAATGGTGGAAACCGAATACAGGAATTTAACAGCTTCTTTTACGTGTAATTCATGGATACATTCTCACTGTGTTGTGGTAGTGGTGGTTTTTAAAGTCATAACAGTATAAAAGATAAAATGTGAAAACCCCACCCAACCCTTTCTACCATTCCTGTTACCATTTTGGTGCACATCTATTCTTCTAATCTCTCCTTTTCTTTTCTTCTCTCTTCTCTTCCCTTCTCTTCTTGTCTCTTTTTTCTCCCCCCTCACTCCCTCCTCCCTCTCTTCCTTATTTCCTTTCTCCCTCCCTCTCTCCCTCCCTCTCTTTCTTTCTTTCTTTCTTTCTTTCTTTCTTTCTTTCTTTCTTTCTTTCTTTCTTTCTTTTTCTTTCTTTCTTTCTTTTCCCCTTACGAAGGCAAAACCTTACTCTTTGCTCAGTGATTTCTGCTTTTCCTTGTTGAATATGTCTATGAGATCTTTTGGTATTAGTCCCTCTCATTTCTAATTGCCATTATCCTTCTAACACCTGGAGAGAGTTCCACAGAAGGCACAGACCCAAAGTTTTGGTGTGGCCTGGCCTAAGGCTTCTTTATGTTAACTTGCTGATAATTATAAGTTTCTGCTGTTTTCCTGTTGAATTATTATTTTCTTGTTGATTTATAGAAGTCATTTTTGGGGCCTGGTTCTTTTATTTAAAATGTTTCTTTTATTGTTATTCTATTACAGTTGTCCCACTTTTTCCCCCTTTGCCCTCCTCTGCCCACCCCAACCCCCACTCCCACAGTAAATTCCCACAGTTATCCATGTCCGTGGGTCATTCATACATGTTCTTTGTCTAGTCCCCTCCCCTTCTTTCCACTGTTATCCCCCTCTCCCCTCCCCTCTGGTCACTTTCAGTCTGTTCCATGTTTCCATGCTTCTGGCTCTATTTTGTTTGTTAATTTATTTTGTTTATTCGATTCCTTTTATGAGTGAGATCATATGGTATTTGTCTTTCACTGACTGGCTTATTTCACCTATGAAGATGCGGAGAAAAGGGAACCCTAGTACACTGTTGGTGAGAATGCAAACTGGTGCAGCCACTGTGGAAAACTATGGAATTTCCTCAAAAAACTAAAAATAGAGCTGCCTTTTGACCCAGCAATTCCACTGCTAGAAATGTACCCTAAGAATCCTGAATCATCAGTTCAAAAGGACTTATGCACTCCTATGTTCAGAGCAGTGCTACTTACACTAGCAAAGTGCTGGAAACAGCCTAAGTGCTCATCAGTAAATGAGTGGGTCAAAAAAACTTGGTACGTTTACATAGTGGAATACTATGCAGCAGAGAGAAAGAAGGAGCCCCCACCCTTGTGACAGCGTAGAAAGAGTAATTTTAGACACAAGTGATTTTGGAAAAATGCATTCAAAGTAATTAATTTGCATTACCCAGCCAAGATAAGAAGTTCAGGTTCTGAGAACAGGCCTCATTGTTTTGCCAGTGGCCCCACATTATGTCTGTACTAACTGTGAATTGGGAAGCTGACAGCTATGGAAATTAAAAAGATGGTATTTTCTGCATTTGATTAATCCCCACAAGGGGGGTATCTACTTATTTAAAGATATTAACTGTGTTTCTTCACAGAAATTTGAAAGGCAACTCTATTTCTCAGTTTGATAAGGATATATGGAAGTCATACCACGAGACTGAGAAACTGTGAGTATATTCTCTTCAAAAAATGAATACAAAAAAACCCCTAACTGCATTGAAAGATCCTTCTTGGTCCAGAAATGTGAGGTCAGTGGCTCTGAGAAAAGGTATTTGCCTTCATATCCCAAATCAATCTTTATTGATTCCAGTTCTGTGTTTATTTTAAAAATTAACTTTGGCAGGCCCTCTTTAAAATAAGTCAACTTAACCTTATATGTTTTTCACTATAACAAGTAACACATTAATTATATTCTCCACATATAAAAATGAAATAACAGGTATAGTGAACACCCTGCTTCTACCCTCATTCCCCACCCTTAAGGTAACCACTACTTTGGGTTTAGTATATATCCTTCCAGACCTTTTCCCATGTATTTGCCTACATATTGATAACACAATAGCTGTGTTGTATAATTTTCTTTTTTTTACATAAATAATAATGACTTGGCCTTTCACCTCATGCTATGTCTTAGATTCGTCTCCTTCCTGGTTACCCAATTCATTTAAACTCTTACATAATATTCTATAGTATGGATGTATTGTAGTTTAATAATCCCTCTATTGATGGATGTTTACATTATGTCCAATTTTCCTGTTACATGTATTGCTGAGATGAATGTTCTTGTACATGTATCTTTGTGAACATGGGCAGGTATTTCTGCAGAATAGATATTTAGAAATGGAATTGTTGGGGTGAAGACTATATTGCTGTAACATTTTAACTGCCCTCAGAGAAGTTATGCCAACGTATGCTCCAGTCAATAGGCTATGACAGCATTCATTTTCCTCTGCCCTCCCCAAGGGAGAGTCTCCATTTTCCAGCTGATCTAATGGGTGAATAAAAGTGCTCTCATTTGAATTTGAATTTTTCTGATTACTTGTAAATTTAAATGTCTTTAAATATTGAACATTTGTATTTCTTCTCTGAATTTGCCCTGTCCTTTTTGCCCATTTTTATTAAATCATTTTTTAATCAATTTGTAGAAAAGTCAGTTTAGGTACATAAGTAATTTAAGAAAAAATATTGACACTCAAAGTAATTAACTGGCATTTTTTTCATGATAGTGTGTGTCATATTATTAGTTCAACTTGAACAGATGTTATAAGATATAATTTCAAGTATCAATGACTTCTTTGGAGAGAAAGCCAGGGAAGGAAAAAAATGAATAGATTCTAGAATGGCCTATTGTTTGCATTTTAGGTTTACTTAAATACTAATAGCCTTCATAGTCTGAGAAGTGTTTGCAGCTAAGCAGGAAGCCCTGGCTGTAGAGCTAACAACTACAAATATTTTTTTTAATATATTTTATTGATTATGCTATTACAGTTGTCCCATTTCTCCCCCTTCATTCCCCTCCACCCTGCACACCTTCTCCCACCCAACTTTCCCCTCCTTTAGTTCATGTCCATGTGTCCTAAGTTCTTTAGCTTCTACATTTCCCATACTATTCCTACCCTCCCCCTGTCTATCTTCTACCTACCATCAATGCTACTTATTCTCTGTACCTTTTCCTCTCTCTCTCCTCCTCCCACTCCCCTGTTGCTAACCTGCCATGTGATCTCCATTTCTGTGGTTCTGTTCCAGTCTAGTTGTTTGCTTAGTTTGCTTTTGTTTTTGTTTTAGGTGTGGTTGTTAATAATTGTGAGTTTGCTGTCATTTTACTATACATGTTTTTTTATCTTCTTTTTCTTAGATAAGTCCCTTTAACATTTCATAAAAGAAGGGCTTGGTGAAGATGAACTCCTTTAACTTGACCTTATCTGAGAAGCACTTTATCTGCCCTTCCATTCTAAATGAAAACTTTGCTGGATAGAGCAATCTGGGATGTAGGTCCTTGCCTTTCATAACTTGGAATACTTCTTTCCAGCCTCTTCTTGCCTGAAAGGTTTCCTTTGAGAAATCAACTGACAGTCTGATGGGAACTCCTTTGTAGGTTACTCTCTCCTTTTCTCTTGCTGCTTCTAGGATTCTCTCCTTCATTTTTACCTTGGCTAATGTAATTATGATGTGCCTTGGTGTGTTCTTCCTTGGGTCCAACTTCTCTGGGACTCTCTGAGCTTTCTGGACTTCCTGGGAGTCTATTTCCTTTGCCAGCTTAGGGAAATTCTCTTTCATTATTTTTTCGAATAAGTTTTCAATTTCTTGTTCTTCCTCTTCTCCTTCTGGCACCCCTATAATTCAGATGTTGGAATGTTTAAAGATGTCCTGGAGGTTCCTAAGCCTTTCCTCATTTTTTTGAATTCTTATTTCTTCATTCTTTTCTGATTGTATGTTTTTTTCTTCCTTCTGGTCCACTCCATTGATGTGAGACCCAGCTTTCATTCCATCATTATTGGTTCCCTGTGCATTTTCCTTCATTTCACTTATTGTAGCCTTCATTTTTTCATCTAATTCACAACCAAAATCAACCAATTCTGTGAGCATCCTGATCACCAGTGCTTTGAACTGTGCATCTGATAGGTTGGCTATCGCTTGGTTGCTTAAAAGTATTGATTGTGGGGTTTTTAATTCTGTTTGAGCCATTTTCTCTTTTTTTTTCCTGTGGTCTGGTTGCACCTGTTACGTATGAAGGGCAGAGCCTTAGGTGTTCGCCAGGGCAGGGCTCCCCAGTCGCTGGGTTGTAACGTTGTATGTGGGGGCAGGGCCTGAGAGGGAAAAATGGGGCTTGCTCTGCTCTCTGTTGGACCTCAGTCCCTTCCGCCGCTTCCCCCTGAACAAACTGGGCCCCTATGGTGCCAATTCCCATGTGGGTGGGCTTGTACTCCTGGTGGGACTTTCCAAGGACCACTCCTGTGAGGCTGGGATTCTCTCCCTGTGCCTCAACCCCCACAGGTGTTTTCAATCAGTGTCCTGAGGCTCTATTTCCCAGCGCTGGGATCCTGGGTTGCGTGCAGTGCCTTGCTTCACACTTGCTGCCTCACTGGGCCTGCCGGTTGCCACCCCTTGGCCGGGGTCTGCCAGCTGCTGCTGGCATACTCAGGGTCCGCCCACTGCGGTCTTGTGTGCTCTGGATGCCTTACATGCCTGCCCCAATGCTCTCTGCTCTCCACCGTGACCCGCACCCAGCTGCCTGACCCCGTCCCTCCTATCTACCGGTCTGGATGAATATGTCTATTTTGACTTCTTGGTTGTCCAACTTCCTTACAGTTCAATTTTCTGTCAGTTCTGGTTGTTATTCTATTTCTAAATTGTTGTTGTCCCTAACTTTGTTGTTCGAGGAGGCACAGTGTGTCTACCTACACCTCCATCTTGGTCAGAAGTCCCAGAGCTGCTGCTTTACTGGCTCTCTACCACGCCCTCACTCCACTCTTGGAGACACTGGCTATGTGCCTTTCTGCTCATCAGGTGTAAGAAATGAGTACAAACTCCCCCTGACCCCTACCCCAAGCAAGTTCCTAATCAGTAGTGCAATACTAGATAAAGCAAAGGTCTTAACTTTCCTTGGGTAGACCAGGTGTCAGGTTTGTCTGTGGATCATTCCCATTCCCTTCCTTTTCCATTATGGAGAACTCATTGGCCCGATCTCTCAGCTTTCTAATTTATTCAACTGTCATTTCTGCTGCTCATTTACTAAATATTTTTTATGAATGATAACACTTCATTTGTATAATCTTGAGTTGATTCTTTTCAATGCATGCATTAGCTGCTTACATCTGTCTGAGGATATTAATTATGCTATTCTGAAGTCCTCTTGTGCTTTTTCTGTTAACTCTGATTCATTGGCTATACACTCTGTTTGTTTTTGTTTTCTGCCCTTAGTGGAGTTGGCTTTCTCAAGTTCTTTGCTCATTCCTGAGTGCAATTTGCAATTGAGATCCTACTGCTTCTGTTTCTGGCTCTAGAGGAGAGGTGAAATGAACTGTTGGGGCTTGTATTTTGATGGAATCTCCTGGGAATAGGAAGAGGTGGAGATGCCTTCTGCTGGCTAGTCACAGAATGAATACCCTTTCTCCAGGGTTCTGGGAGACCCTGCCCCCTTTCTAATAATACTAGTTGCTCCCACCTGGAGGAAGATACCCTTTGCTGCCTGGTCCAAGGAGGGAAGATGTGGGGTTGAGGTGCTGCCAGCTGCTCCTACTGCAGTATCCCAATCACTCAACTGCAGGCTGCTCCAGGGCATTTCTGGCAGGCGAGTATTTGTGGAGCCACTGCCACGCTTTGATGCCTTTTCCATTATTCTTAGGAATTTTAGTGGTGGTTGGAGGGGTAGAGATTTGGCATGTTTCAATCTGCCAACTTGAAATAGCATAATATGTTAGGAAAACATTTTTGTACCCCTATTATATCCTAGAGAAACTCAGGCAAATGTGTACTAGGATACAAGTACAAGAATGTTCAAAATGGCATTATAATAACTCAAAACTAGAAGAATGTTAGTGTCTACCAGTGGTAGAATGAATAAATAATGTGTGGTATAGTCATACAATGGAATATTACTCATTAGATGCATAATGCAAACCACATAAGTAACCTTAAATTTCTGGTATCCACTAAAAAACTAAAAGTAAAGAAAAACAGTAAAATAAATGTGGATAGATTTTATTTAATTCATATCTAAAATATTATTTTAACATATAATAATTATATAAATTATTAATAGGATATTCTTCCTTTTTTTCACACTAAGTCTTCAAAATATCCAAAGTATTGTCATTTGCAGGTGGAATCAATATAAAAACTGTTAATAAGAAAGTTTACATTCCTTTTTCCATACCAAGTCTTTGAAATCTCAATTTGGTTGCTAAATTTTTTTATCAGAAAGATTGTCTATATTAAGATTTTATCAATTTACAGTTGAGAAAGTAGTATGCAGGAGGATGTTAAGAATAGTATAGAAAATGGAGAAACCAAAGAACTTTATATGCATAACCCATGGATTTGAACTAAGGGTGAGGGTTTCTGGAGGGAAGGGGGCTACCCAGCAGAAAGGGATAAAGGGAAAGAGTAAGACAACTATAATAACATAATCAATAAAATACACTAAAAAAATAAAATAAAGTAGCACCACACACTCAGGTTGTTGCTAACACACTTAAAGGGAATCAGAGGAAAGGCTGTGATTGGAAAGGGGCACCACGGGGGCTTCTGGGATGCTGTCGTGTTCTCCCTCAGCAGGAATGGTGTTATATAGGTGTTTGTATTTATCTTGTGTGCGTTTTACGCACATTTTAGTTTTCAAAAGAATTTTTTAATGGGGGAGAGAATTGAATGACTTCACTTGCAGCTCTGATATAGTTCTATATGGGGCTTCCATAATCAGTTTTGGGAAAAGAGAGGAGGAAAGGGCAGTTCTGCCTATGGTGGTACCATCCAGAGTTAGGTTCTAACAGAGACTTTGTGATCTAGAGAGTAAGCATTAGATACATGATTTGGCCAGAAGAGTGAGCAGGAGTGTGTGTGTGTGTGTGTGTGTGTGTGTGTGTGAGAGAGAGAGAGAGAGAGAGTGAGAGATGAAGCAAGATGGATACAAAGGAGGACATGAGAAGAAAGGTTTCAATAAAAACAACAGAGATCACCATCTTTACATGAAATAAAAGGTAGGGTATTTTGATGGCACCATTACTCAGGTTTCTGCATACATAGTTCTGTATAAATAGTTGTAGTTATTTTGCATTTTGATCCAGAAATAACCTTTTTATTTTTCAGAATCCTCAGTGACAATAATTTAAAAGAATTACGTAAGGAATCATTTGAAGGTCTGCTCTTCCTCAAATATTTGTAGGTTAATTTTATTTATTTATTTATGAATTTTTAGTTATATTATCTATAAAATAAATAAGGGGTTCAAATTAGATAACCTACAATTATGTAAGTTAGCATAGGGCTCCAGCCTACAAGCATTTAGGTTCTTAGGCCTGCACTCAATCCACTGAGCCTCACCAGCCAGTGATCTCGAACATTTAATATCTCCTATGCATTTTCAATTTTTTAATTACATAGACAAGATATAGACAGGAAAAAGTCTTCAGTTATAGAGCAAAAGTGGTAGTAAGGTCTGAGTAATTATACATACCTATATGCTATATAAATGTTCATGTATCACTTGCTTGTATTTACATTTAGTTTAGGACCCATGGATCAAATCGGGCCTATGGTCTGTTTTCATACAGTCCATAAGTTAAGGATAATTTTCACACTTTTAAAGGGCTGTCAACAAAAAAAAAGAACAGAAAGAAACAAAGAAGAATATGTGAGAAGGACTTTCTGTGCTGTGGCCTACAAAACCTAAAATATTTGCTGTCTTGCCTTTTCAGAAAAGGTTTTGAAATGTTGATTTAGTAAAATGAGAGGAATTCAGGTTAACCTCAAATTGTCCCCAATGGGACCAAAAAATATAGAACACTTAACATTAATTTGAAGGCCATTAACCCAGAAGTTTTGACAATTTAATCTAAATTAGATTAACATTTATACATTAAATGTTTAACTAAGCAGATGAATTATGTAAACAGTATTATTATGAACATGTTAAGTTGTCAAGAAAGCAGATGAGTATTCAGGATTTCAATGTTTAAAATGATGGTTAAGTGGACAATAGTTAGAAATGTCTATCCTAAATGAGCATATCACAAAGGCCCCTAACTTTACTAATTACAAAATAAAAACCTCTCCAGTCTCTTGTCAAGAAGAAATGCTTGCCTAGTGACTATTTATTTTGAGAGAAGGAGATGTTCTTTGCTATAAAAACTCAATTATTGTCCTTTATCTATGGCATCCAGAGAGTGTATGTCATTAATCTTTATTAAGCTAATTAATGATGCTCTTTACCAAATAGATTATTTTTGCAAACGTAGAAGGCTTAAGGGAAGTGGGTAGAAAGAGCCTCATATGATACAAATAGTCCTTTGAATGATCAAACTATTTAAACCTCAGGGCACAACTACTTTTGTATTGATCTTCTTGGGTATCTCACTATCTGGGTTCCAAATCTTACAAACAGTTTGGAGGAAAACGAATGAGGTAACTAACTACTCAGTAGTTTAGGTCATTCATTACTTCTGCTGTGAAATATTTTCTAAGCTAATTATTTCATGCTAGCATAAATATTCCCATTCATTAAAAGATGCCAATCAACAAACAAGCTAAAAAAGAATATGCCAAGCTCTGCGCCCAGTATCGTAGGCATAAATATGGGTAAGACATGGCTCCTACCCTTCTAGTAACTCCTGATCTCAAAGGGAAAATAAATATATGAGCTCAACCCATAATGCACAAGTACTAAATGGCACACAAGGGGGTGCCATAAAGTAATAAAACTACATTTCCTTTACAAAAGTCATTTTTCTCCCTCTGCTCCCAGCTATTTGTTTATTTTATAAATATTTGAGTTTGCATATGTCCACGTGTCAGTTTTAAACATGATAGACAATGCAGGTGAGCAAGACCTAGCCCATCCTTTCAAGGACTTTATGCTCAGAGGAAATAGGATGCAAAAAAGACTGTACCAAAAAGAAGAAATGGAGACAGGCAATGAGAGGTGTAAATTGGTTTTGGAACACAGCAGAGAGAAAAGACACTTCAAGTTGGATCAGCAAAGATGTCACCAGAGCAATGCTGTTCGAAGAGGACCTTGAAGAGTCCTTGGGGATTATCACACAGACACCTTGGGTAGAATAAGCGTGCAAAAGGAGTGTGTGGGTAGCAAAACACAGAAAAAATACCTTGAGTATCTATAGAGTACAAGTAGAGAGAATAGGAGATTAGAGCCAGATCTAGGGCTTTGAAGGCCAAGCCAAAGATAACATGCCGAGCTACCGTGTTATCACACCAGTGCTCTAGGACAAACTTTAGCCCACAACAGAATCACTTGAAGAGCTTGTTAAAACTCAAGCTCTACCCCCACAGTTACTAATTTAGCTGGTCCAGAGTAGAGCTGAGAATTTGCATCTTCAATAAGTTCCCAAGTGATGCTGGCTGGTATTGAAGAACCACTTCTGGAATGTTAATCTGGTGACTGTGTGCACGATGGATTAGAAAGGGAGAGACTAGAGATGGAAACACCGGTCAGAAGACAGTTATACTCACATAGGTGAAGAGCAGGTGACTAAGCTGGAATCAATGGAAATAAGAGTAACTATAGAGAGTAGTCTCTAAGAGTAGTCTATAGTTACTAGACAAGAGTGAGTGTTTTCAAATAAAAATGCAGTACCATTTTGTTTTTGTTGTATAAAACCACTGTACAACTGGAGTACTGAAATTCATGGATTATTAAAGCAATGTAAAATAAAAAATATCTATTAATATAATAGAATGTATCATTCTGAATTAGTTCAAAGTTCTGTATTAAGAAAAGGAGCAGCTTCCTTTTAAGTTATGCGGAAAGGGATCTTTTATTTTCTGGTATTGAATTGGCCTAGAAAAACAGAACCAAACCAGGAATGTATGTAAGTGTGAGACTATTTCTTTTTCATATTAGAAATTTATAATTATGTATAAAGATAAAAACTTTGAGCTCATAATCTGAATTTGGTGAGACCACAAAAGGTCATCTAATCAATTCTGCTCTCAGAAAAGATTATCTTTACAATCTATCAAGATCTATAGTTGTATACTATATTTTGCTGTCTACAGTGCATGCTCACACGTTGGGCCCAAACTTTCAGGAAAAAATCTTTCATTTTGATTTTTTAATTCAGTTTTTTGTTTATTTATATTTAGAAACAAAACCAATTAGTGTATTCCAGGGTATTATTCATTATATATCATTATTCATGATATTGCATATGATATTATTCATGACATTACATGATATTACATTATTATATATCATTATTCATGGTATCATTATATCATACAGATATCATTATTGCTTTCTAGAGTTACACTTTTAATGCATAGGCATAAATAAAATAATTTAAAACATTTATATAGATATAGAATTAATACTACCCATGTATAATACACATCCATATTTTTCCCTCAAAAATTTGGGCAAAATAGTGTGCATTATATATGGCAAAACATGGTATTTTATTTATAAAGATCACGAAGGTGAGACTTTTTAGGGAGGTGAGGACAGGGTTAGGGGCTCTGGAAGGTTCAAATCCCAATTCCTAAGGTTTAGAGTTTAAACTAAAGCTATGTATTCATTATTACCCTTCTAATTACTACCAGTTATTTCTACTATTTAGGTATCTAATAGCTAATTGAGGCAATCTTTTTCTTTTACTTTTTTCTAGAGACTTATCTGGCAATAATATAAAATTTATTGAAGAGAGTACATTTGAAACACTGCCTTTTTTGGAATATCTGTAAGTTATAACTATAACTCCATTATGTCTAGAATTTTTACAAAACTTTGTAAACCTTCTTATTATTTCTTTTGAAGTAAGATTAAAATTTTATTAATAGAAAGCAACTAAAGTTATATAGTAAATCCTTTCTGTCTGTAGCACAGGCTAGTGTGAGAATTATCTCACAGGTCAGAGTGAAGCATTCTACAACAGTGGTCCTCCACCAGGGTGATTCTGCACCCAGGCTGGCAATATCCACAGGCAGTTTTAGTTGTCAGAGCTGTAAATATGCCACTGGCATGTGGTGGGCAGGAGCCAGAGCTGTTCAATGCCCTGCAATGCACAGGACAGACCACCAGAGCAAAGAATTATCTAGCCCAGAATGTCAATAGTGTTTAAGTTGTGTAACCCTGTTCTAGAAAAACAAAGACCACTTAATATAAGTATTGTTCGAGCACTTACAGTTTGTATATAATGCATCACACACATGAACATGAGAGCATATATCATAAGCAGGTTTCTTCCACAGTGAGATTTATTTAGTGTATTGAGGGAGTATAGAGGTTGTTTGGCCATATATAAATTGGGATCACTGCCAAAGGATAAATGATCTGAAAGAATTTTGTTTTTGTCTTCTTTTGCTTGTGTTTTCTTTTGAAGAAATCTTGGTGGCAATTTAATCACAGAAGTGAGCTCTGGAATGTTTCAGGCCTGGCACGGAATGCAGTTTTTACACACGTTGTAAGTGAAATAGAAGATAAATACATTTGAAAAGCTATGTGTAAAAACATCATATAGTGATTGGTTAACTGGTCATAAGCCCAGTCTGAACTTTGAAAAGTATAGGTTAAGTGTGGAATTAACTGTGGAATTAAAAAAAAAATTCTGTAGATGAAAGAAAAGCAACTTGTATGGAGGACACTGCAATAACTATTTTCTATAGAGCAAGAGCTTCCTATAAGCATAGTTGCTTCCAGGGTGTTCAGTCTGAAAAGTTTTTGGCATTTTTTTTCTTTGCTATCTACTTTCTCCTCCTCCTCTTCCTCCTTCTTCCTCTTCTTCTTCTTCTTCTTCTCCTCCCCCTTTCCCTTCCTCTCCTTCCCCTCCTCCTTCCTCTCCTTCTTCTTCCTCTTCCTCTTCCTCTCCTTCTCCTTCCCTTTCCTCCCCTTCTCCTCCTCCTCCTTCTTTTTCTGTTTTTACTTTCTCTTCCCCACTTTATCATTTAGAGACCTGGGCAGTTCCCTAAAAAAGAATGCTTTACAGATTCTAAGGGTGATCTATATGTACAGAAAATAATTTTTTAACCTTCTAGTTTTGCACCAACAAGATGAATATACGCTTTCATGGTGATTATTGAAAATGCCATGAAATTATTAAATATAATTTTAATTTCATTGCACTTTTTCCAGAATTCTCCATCATAATCCTCTGACAACTATTGAAGATTCATATCTTTTTAAATTGCCAGCATTACAATATTTGTAAGTATTATGACAGTCTCTTGGCTCATGAGATGATTTCTGCTTTTTTTAACTTTTGTCAAAGATTAAGTATTTTACATTTTGACTGAAAGGTCATAATTTAAGTGATAACTGGCTTATTGCATAAAAATTACTGGCATAGAAAAATGATTAAGAGAGAATGCAGATGGACAAGACAGCCAGAGGAGGAAGGGAGCGGTGTTGAAGAACATGTACAGATACGGAATATGTGAAGCGTGCAGAAACACCATTGATCTCAGACAGAAAAAAGGAAGCAGTTGTACATTATGTATTTTTTAAAGAATAATGAAGTGGTGGATGCAATTGAGAATGAGAAGTAGGATAATGATAAAAAAAAGCAAACCAATAAACCAGATTGTACTGTTCACCAACATCACTAATTTGATGATGCAAATAAATTTAAATTTCTCTCTGAAATTATCATCTATAGCAAGTGAACTTTTGAGCTGGCTTGACAGAGGAGCCAGAACTGAAGTGACCAGATGTCTTTAAGTGTCTTTTTAAGCATAGAGTTTTTGTCATTGCGCTCATCTGATGCACGTTTGGACCTTCTCCTTCAGGGACCTGGGAACAACACAGGTGTCGCTGACAACAGTTGAGAACACCCTCACGATGAGCACTAAACTGGAAAAACTGTGAGATGATTTTTCTTAGATTTACTTTCACTTAGTTGGTCTTGTAGGTTTGCTTTATTATTTTCTTAAGTCGGGTTTATTGAATTATAATTTTTATTTCATTACATTCGCTCTTCAAAAGTACAGAGTTTAATGAGTTTTGATAAATGCGTAGTTGTGTACCACCATGACATTCGAGATGCAGAATACTTTTGTCATCCCAGAAAGACTCCCCATGTTTTTTTGCAGTCAGTTCCTCCTCCCACCGTCAGTCCCTGGCGAGTACCAATCTGATTTTTGTCGCTATAGTCTTGCCTTTTCCAGACTGTCTTAAAAATGAAATCAAGTAGGGTGTAGCTTTTTATGTTACGCTCTACAGTATATTACACTCTACAATTCTCATATAGTGTATGAGAATTTCATTTTCTTCATATTTACCAACACTTGCTATGGTCAGTCTGTTTAATTTTAGATGGTTTAATAGGTGTATAGTGGTATCTCAGTGTAGCTTTAATTTGTATTCCCCTAGTGATTAATGACGTCAAGTATCTTTTCATGTGCTTATTTGACATCTGTATATCTTTGCATCTTTTTTCTATATTTTTAGTGGGTTTTGGTTCTTTACATATTCTGGAAACAAGTTTTATATTAAGAATATAATTTGATAGGTACTTGCTCCCATTCTGTGGCTTATCTCTTCCTTCTCCTAAGAGTGTCTTTTGTGGGGCAGAAATTCTTTTTTTTATATATTTTATTTATTTTTATTTTTTTAGAGAGGGAAGGGAGGGAGATAGAGAGAGAGAGAAACATTTATGTGTGGTTGCTGAGGGGCATGGGCCTGCAACCCAGGTATGTGGCCTGACTGGGAATTGAACCTGCGATACTTTGGTTCGCAGCCCGCGCTCAATCCACTGAGCTATGCCAGCCAGGGCTCAGAAATTCTTTATTTTCATAGTGTGCAAGTCTTTTACATCTTTTGTCAGATTCATTCCTAAGTGTTTTATGCTTTTGTTGCTATTATAAATAGTATTTTTAAAATTTCAATTTCTGATTGCTCTTTGCTAGGTATTAGAAATATTAGAAAGGTATTAGAAATACCTTTTTGTATATTGGTCCTGTGTCCTGCAAACCTGATAAACTCATTTATTTTACTAGCCTTTTTGTATATTCCACCAGGTCTTCTACATAGATAATCATGTCATCTGCAAATAAATATAGTTTATTTTACTTCTTTCTTTTCATTCTGAATACATTTTCTTTCCTTCTCTTGTGCAACTGTACTGGCTAGAACTTTCAGTGCAGTGTTGTATAGAAGTCATGAGAGCAAGCATCCTTTCCTTTGTCCTGATCTTGTAGAGAAAGCACTTTGTTTTTCATGATTAAAAATGGTATTGGATTTTTTTGTAGAAGCCATTTATCAAAATAAGGAAGTCTCCTTTTATCTCTAGTTTTCTGAGTTTTTTTTAAAATAAGGAATGAATGTTAGATTTTGTCAGCACTTTTTATGCATCTATTGCAATGATTGTATGATTTTTCCTTTTTAATTTATTAACTTGGGTAAGTTACATTGATTTTTAACTATTAAACCAACCTTGTATTCCTGAGACAAACTCCATGATATATCATTTTTTAACTACATTGTTGGATTTTGTATGCTAAAATTTTGTTTAAAATTTTTGCATCTGTGTTCTCATGAAAGATTTTGGTCTGTAGTTTTCCTTATAATATATCTTTGTCTAGTTTTGATGAGGGAAAAGTTGGTCTTATAAATCAGTTGAGAAGTATTCCCTTCTCTTCAATTTTCTCATAGAGTTTGTGTGTAATTACTATTATTTTTTCCTTAAATGTTTGGTAGAATTCTCTAGTGAAGCCGTGTGGGCTTGAAGCTTTCACTATGGGAAGGTTGTAAACTACATATTCAATATCTTTATAGTGCTAGCTAAGTTACATATTTGTTCTTGAGTAAACATTATTAGTTTCTGTCTTTCAAGGAATGAAAATCTTCAATGTAGTGGCAAAATATTTTATAATATTCTTATTATCCTTTTAATATTTATATACTCTATAGTGATGTCACTCATCTCATTACTAATATTGATCATTTGTCTTATTTATCTTGAGGAATCTGGATTTATCCATTTTATTGATCTTCTCTAGGAACTATTTCGTCATTTCACTGACCTCTCAGTTTTTTTTTCTGTTTTCCATTTTGTTAAAATTTCTGCTTTCATCTTTATTATGTCCTTTCTTCTTCTTACTCTGTGATTAACTTGCTCTTCTTTTTCTGATTTCTCAAGGTGGAAGCTGCAGAAGCTGAGTATTGCTTTAGCAATATCCCACATGCCGACATCTCATAGTTTCAGTTTCAGTCTGTTCAAATAATTTCTAATTTCAATAGTATAAAGAACCTTGCAATAGTGCAATAGTGACTTCCATTTGTTCCTCCTGGCCTTTGTGCTATTGTTTTCAATACATTTTACTTTCACTTATCTTAGAAACACCACACTATATTTTTGTGTTTAAATAATTAATTATCTATAAAGATATTTAAATAATAAGAAAAGTCTTATCTATTTACCTATGCAATTACCAATACAGTAATAATCTGTATTTCCATCTGGTAACATTTTCCTTCTGCTGAAAATGACCTTCTTTAACATTTCTTTCAGCTTTTGTATATCTGAGAGTCTTTATTTTACTTTTGTTTCTGAAAGACCTGAGTACAGATTTCTAGCTTGATAGTTGTTGAGTCCCCTTCTCCCCTTCACTACAAAGATTTTTTTCCACTAGGAGTTTTGGCTTACATTGTTTCCAACAACAAAAAACTACTGTAATTTTTATCTTTGTTCCTCTTTTACAGTGTGTGTGTTTTTTTCCTTAGGCTGCTTTTAATATTTTCTCTTCATTGTTGGTTTTGAGCCATTTGATTATTATGTGCTCCAGTATAGTTTTGGGTGTGATTCTTGTGTGTGGAGTTCATTGGCCCCCTTGGATTTGTGGGCATTTGGTGTTCACCGATTGGAACAATTTGCAGCTATTATTTATTCAGATTTTTCAATCTCCTCCTCTTCACAGACTCTAAGTACACATATATTAGCCACCTGAAGCTGTTGCACAACTCACTGATGATGCTCTGTTCATTTTTGTTGTTTTATTTTGTTTCTCTTTGTGTTTCATTGTATATAGTTTGTATTGCTATGTTATAAATTCACTGGTCTTTCCTTCTCCTGCAGTGTCTAATCTGCCAATAATCCTATCCAGTGTCTTTTTTGTTTAGACCCTATAGTTTTTAATGTCTAGCTTTTTGGAACAGGCACTATTCCTAATACCATGTGATATGCAGTTATTCTTATCTCTAATCCTTTCACATGGTTCTTTTCTTGGGCTCAAACAATTCTTCACACACATGCACCAACCAGTACTTTGTTGAATACTCAAGAGATGTCTCTGCATATCCCCAGGGTGCTTGTCTGTTCACTTCTTTTGTTTTCTGGTATTCTGCTTTGTAATTCTAGTCACCTTGGTTTCCCCCAACTTTCATATCCATCTCCTTTGGGAGTTAATCAGTCTCCGTGTGGGTTTTGTCTTCCCTGCATCATGACCTGGAAACTAAAAGCAGTAAGCTGAAACAATCAGTAGCAGGTTTACTTAATTTATCTCCTATCTCTTGGGAGTTGCTGTCCTTCATTGCCTGAAGCCCAATTTCTTGAAAACCATTGTTACATATATTTTGTCTGGTTTTTAAATTAGTTTAGGCAGGAGGTTAAACTGGTCCCAGTTACTCCATCTTGGTCAAAAGCCAGTTATATTCTTTTCCCCCCAGTAATATTTTTTAAATCTATTTTGTTTTGATCTAGGATCCAATCAAAGAGCAGGCATCACATGTCTTGTCTTTGTTTCCTTTAATCTAAAATATTTATCTTTTTTTTTTTGGTCTTTTATGACACTGGCATTCTTGATGTGTCTAGGATAGTTGCCTTATGAATTGCCCCACAGCCTGGATTTGTCTGGTTGCTCCTGATTAGATTCAAGGTAAACTATTTTGGAAAGAATACCATATAAGTGATGGATCCTTCCTACCTCATCACTTCAAGTGGCCCATAATGCTAAATTTGATCATTTAATGAACATACTATTTTCCAGATCTCTCCATTGTAAAGTTACTTTTACCTTGGTGATTAATAAATAATCTGTGGAATGATACTTTGGGATCAGTAAACATTCTACTCTCAAGTTTTTACCCATTCGTGCGTCAATGATAATCTGTGTCTGATCGATGATTACATTGGTGGTTACAAAGTGACACTGTTTTTCCTAATTCTATTATTCCTTCTACATTTATTAGCTGGCATTAGTCTTTAAATAGTAGTTTATCTCTATTCTTTTTGAGTATCATTATAAACTCATGTGTTCTTCTTTAAATTATGTTACACCTTATTGTCATTATTCTTTTGAATGTTCAGATTGCCCAGGTTTGTCCAATGCCATCTGTTATTATTTTACCACACAATTTTTTTTATGCCCAGAGTAATTTCTAATACATATACCACTCACAATCAGGAATTACTCACAATTAAGGATTTATAAGATAGGGACTTCTCCAGAGTCTTCTCAGAAGTCTTCCCTCTTCTTATGTACTGTCAACCCAAAGTGAGACTTTTGGGTTGGGAGGAGATGCTTCTGAATTAAACTACAGATCAGCATCACTTAACTCTAATCCCTATCACCTTTAGTCCAGGCATACCGTACCTACTGCCATTCCTAATCTTCTGTTGGGCGCTTCTGTCCTCCTCTCTATTTATTTACAATATTCAAGAGTAGCAAGTGGCTGCCCTGGCTGACTGGAGCATCTTCCCATAAATCAAAAGGTCGTGGGTTCTATTTTCAGTCAGTCAGGGCACATGCCTAGGGTTTGGGTGAGGTCCCCGGTGTTTCTCCCTCACATCGATGTTTCTCTCCCTCTCTCTCTCCCCCTCCCTTCCCCTCCTCTAAAATCAATAAGCATATTCTCTGGTGAGGATTAAAAAAAAAGAGTAGCATACAGCCAGCTGATGCCCACCAGACTGTCGAGGGGGTACGCTCCGACAACTCTTCTCCTCACAGCCCTGTGGTGGCCTCTGCCTACCTCTTCCACCTGCTCCAACAACAGTGTTGTCAATAATTTAATTCTCTGTGTTTCTGATTGCAGGATCCTACCCCGCCATTTGGCCTGCTGCCTCTGCCAAGTCAAAAACACGATTGAGACTGTCAGCCACACGGTCAGACTGCACTGCGACACTGAGTGCCTGACAAAGACACAGTGTGGTGAGTGCGCACTGCCCAATGGTAAACTCCTTCATTTTTCTTTTATTTGTTTTCATTTTTCATTGGTGATGATACCTTTTTAAACAAATAAGGTAACTGCATTATTTGTATTCATTCCTTCAGAGTTCCCTAAAACTTCTAAGAACTGCTTCCTTGTTAAAAATCAGATTAAGGAACAAGAGAAAGGAAAGGAAGAGGAGAGGGAATTAACATGAACGGATATACAGTGCATGTGATGCTCTTAGCTCCGTGCTTTCCTTCCAAACGAACTCATTCATTAGGGTCACAGTTTGTACACTGGTGTTGGATGCATTAGGTCTCATTTGCCCTTTGCCTCATTGGACAAGTAGAAACATATTTTTATTTTGTGGTGGCCTCTGCCTACCTCTTTTTGCAATTTTATAAAAAGAGTACAAGTGATGCTATTTTATGAAAGTTTCATTTGGAAACTGAGAGTTTCTGGTTTTATTACCAGAGGCTACTACCAAACCCTTCTAGTGGGTGGGAGGGCTCTTGCCCTCTTAGACTGTCCAACTCTGAACTTGCTCTGAAGCTCAAGGTTTTCTATCCACCAAACACTTGGGTGCTTTTACATGTTTTTCTACAAATTAGGCTTATTGGCACCTGTTCAATAACTTCCAAAATGTGCTTTCATGCCCAGGTAGCTCAAATATGGGCCTCTGGCAGTGATCTGGGAGTACATCATAAATAATAACACTGTGCTGCTTATAAGGAGAGTTGTTTATTTTGCAAAACAGGTTTTTTTTGCCACTTATATTACTCCCTTCTACCCTGAAGGTAGGCAGAACAGGCATTTTCATCTCCTTATACAGGTGAGTAAAAACAAGATTAGAAGGTGTCAAGTGCTATCACCAAGTGTCCAGGTCTCCAGCTTTCAGTTTGGGCCCTGCAAGCCCTTGTGAGACCCTCCCTCTTGTGAGACCGTCCACTCCTTCTCTGACCCTCACCTTCACCAGCAATACTTTTAATTCTTCTGTAATGGAAACCCAGTTGCACAATGGTACACTTGACCTTCACGCAGTCAGGAGCTTTGGCTGGTTCCCCAAGGAAAGCCGAAAATGTAAGAAAATGAAGTGAAAGCAAAGTAAGCATCTGATGAAAATTGCCTTTTCCCTTCTGTATTTTAGGACCCCACATATTATTCCAATTATTCCACAGATGTAGTGAACCTTCTACATTGGCACACAACCTGCCAAATCTCTTAACCTACACCCCAGATGCCTGCCTAAATTTAAGCCAAGGGCAAGAGTGGACATAGTGTTTTTTTCCGTATAGAGCCTTCTGTTGTGGGGGCTGGGCTACGTGGAAGCAGGCACCAAACTAATGGTTTGGTGAGTAAGTGGGTAAGGGCATACCCAGATGAGGACCTGTTAGTAGTGGATGTTAATCACAGTCATCTGTGATGGTAGCAAGAACACGAGCACACAACGAGGTGGAGAGGGGAAGCCTTGTGCTCCCTGTGCACCTGAGCAGGACAGGATGGGGTCCATGAATGTGAGGAGTCACAGTAGATCTGCAGAGAGTTTAACTGAGTGGGATCTTCCAGTCTTCATGTTTCTTCAGTACCTGGCAATTGGCCTTTGGGAACCAATGGAATAATCCTCGATATAGTCACTGTATTTCACACTATGGAATGTTCTGAGTAAATAACCCCCTTTAAAAGGATACGTTTTCTCCTTTTCTTGTGTTGCCAGTCATAGGTTTAAGTTGGGATTTATTCTTCTCCTCTCTCAACATCACTCCAATATGTGCTGATTCCCCATTTATTTGACTGGGATGTATGGCTGTGGACTGACAAAAATCTGTCCCATGAGTCCTTCATGATCAAAAGTGGCCTCTTCTTTTTTAGCGGAGGAAGAACCACATTTAACAAGTGAGGAAGGCTCTTTCCTAAAAGTGCTACAAGACCGGAAGAACACCAGCGCTGAGCTGATGATCGAGCCAGAGAGGACATCCTCAGACAAAAATGACGACAACCTGTCAGCCTTCCTGAGTGAGCAGCTAGACTTTAATGTTAAATATGATGTTATTAGTTCACTAAATTACAGATCGCCTTATTTCTTGGAGATAAATCTAGAAGATATAGAATCAATGTTATTACTGTTCATTAAATTCCCTTTTTCAAATGTGCAGGGTGGAGATGTGCCCTGAGTCATTTGAAAACAACACAGGGTACCCTCTTAAACCTGAATTTTACTGTTCAAGTAACAAAAATAAATTGAGGAAACTCTATTTTTTGGAATAGATCTCCTGATGAAGCTTCTCAGTGAGCAAGAAGAAGCGAAGGTTTCCAAGGCAGAGTGGGATGTGAATCAGTGGGAAAATGAGAAAACAGAAGCTCCGGATGAAGAGGAAGAGGAGGAGGCACTTGTGGTGAGGACAGCTCCCAAAACACAAAGACCTGACAGTTAGTCAGTTAGGACATACCATGAAAGTACCAGGGCAGAAAGACCAGAGGCTCCTAGACTGTCTCTTGTCCTAGCCACGTGGCTTTGGCCAAGACAGTGATCTTCCACTTTGTTCATTTAGACCAGGGGCTGTCAAACTCATTTTCACTGGGGGCCACATCAGCCTCACAGTTGCCTTCAAGGGGCTGAATGTAATCTTAGGACTGTGTAAATGTGACTACTCATTAACTAGGGGCAAGGAGCTTGGTGCTGCTGCCAGGTAGAAACAAGGACCACATAAAACAAGGTGGAGGGCCGGATTCAGCCAGTGGGGCTTGTGTTTGCTACCTGTGATTTAGACAGTGGTGCCCCTGTTCCTAGGGTAGATGTGAAGAAGACCTAACACACAAGATAAATAAGCGAAACCAGAATGCTAATGCCAAGATTACATAACACATCAGATATGATATGTTCTTTAAGAACCTATACAAGAGGGAGCCCCCCAAAACCCAGACTTATCTTCTGGAAGGTGGGCCCCTTGTGTAGTACAGCTTTGCCTCTCTAGGTGAGTGTTCAAGGAACCCATCTGTTTCAGTGTACTAGCTGGCATTGGGGTGAGGGGCTATTACGGTTTCAGTGAATTTTTTTTGAATACACTTTCAACATGTTTGCTTATTTCATGATGGATGATTTACAAGCACACCTGCCACGCCATGCGTGTTCAGCATTTTTTGACAAAAAATGTCATAACCCCCATGTTCCACATTCCCTATTCACCCAATCTTGCCCTAGGTGAGTTTTTTTGTGATTCCCTGGATGAAACAAGTCCTCAAAGGGATTTGTTTTTCCAATGTGGAAGAGGTGAACAAAAAACAGCAGAAGCACTAAAAGGCATAAAAATTGATGAGTTCGAAAACTGCTTTGAGCAGTGGAAAAACCATCTCCATAGATGTATTGCATCAAATGGAGAGTACTTTGAAGGTGACTGAAGTTTGAACATGTCAGAATAAATAAAAATTGTGTAATTTTTAATAAATAAATTCCAGGTATATTCGGGTCCCCCCTCATAAGCCAATTCACATGAAAGAGTGGGGTTTTCAGGTGAGTAGTAAAGAATAGTTAGCTATTCTTTAGAACAGGCTTAAGAATAGTCTTTTTTTATCTTTTCCATCTATTTGGTTTGTTTATAAAATTCTTCTTTTTTTTTAAGCGTTCCAACGAAGTGCCAATGCCGGGATATGTGTATAGGAACAAAGTCCTCGTGGCAACACCTGTGATTGCAGTAGCAACAGGTTTTACCATAATCGTCTGTCTCATTTTGGTAAGACAACAGTTAATCCAGCTTTCCAAAATATATTTTGTCTTTAGAACAGATTCAGAACCCACAAACTGAAAATCAAAGCCACCTTCGCACCTGCTCCTCCTTGATATTTTTGTTCTAGTTGCGAGCACTGAGATATGCTTTGCTCTATTCTGGAGGTTTTTAAAGGAGGCCCACTCCCAGAGATCTCTGTGGAGTTGAAATCAAGATAACAAACCACTGCACTCTTTTGAGAACTTAAGTTTAATAGGCCAGAGTTGACATGATAGCAAAATTTCTTCAACTCAAAATGATCAATGCCAATTTCATGTATTACCAATTACTCTCTTCCTACCGCTGACTTCTTTCCTTGTTGGCTAAAATGAGGAAAGATATAGAATCTCCACCCTCATGGAGCTATGCCACCCTGGCAGAAAGGACATGGCTGAGAGATAAAAATGTGATCTTGTCAGTTCATTAGATTTACTTAGCAACTTTCTTCTCCAGCGTGTAGAGCACAGTGTGTAAATAGGTTCAGTTAGAACACTGCCACCTAAATCCTGCATCAGGCTTCTCTGAAGCATGTCATATTCATAGTCACCGGTTCCTGGAACTTGCCTGTTTCCCTTTCATTCAATTACACAGAGATTTATTTCCCAACAGGCAGGAGCTAACATTAAATGAGTGATTTAGTAAGCTGACGATCTTGACTCTTCCCTGGTAATCCAACCTAATACCTTGTTTATCTTTTCAACTGTCATGGAAGCCCTCCAGTCCAGCCAAAGCAGCCTATCTCCATCACCTGGCCATACCACACCCATGCCTACTTTTGTTTGTGCCTTTGCCCATTTAAAATTCCCTTATTTCATTCTGCCTGTGGAAGTCCTGTGAATCTTTCAAAAGCCAGCTCAAGTTCATATTTCCTCACACAGCCTTCCCTGAATATTTCAGCCTTGCTAGCCCTTCTGTGAGATTTGTCAACATTTGAGGGGGGTAGGCAGTAGTGAGGCATTTCCCTCCCCTGAGAATTTAAAAATATGGTGAACAAGTTTTTAAAAGGTGGCTCCCCAAGAAATTCCAGGGTCAACACATTGTGGGGCAGAGCAGAGATGTGTCCAGACAAAATGGCTTCCTGGTCTACCCAACTTAAGTAAAACTTAACTGGATATATTAACTGCCAAAGGAAACATGTCTGTCTGCAGGAGGGTTGGTCAGGTCAGTAGTAGAAGCAGAGAAAAGGTGAGGAAGAGACCGACATGGGCATTGCCCATCCCAGCAGTACCTAACCGTAGAGATGGCACCTCAGGCAGCAGACGTGGAGAGTCAGGCCCACTAGCCAGGCTATGCCTGGTGAGGAGATGAATGGATCCTGCTGACTCAGTCTTTTCTATTAAACACAGGATTCAGCTGATTTCTTTTGTTCTAATTCAGTTCTCACCAAGTAGCCTTCTGATTGTGCTTTAGTGTACCGCATGGCGTAGCTCTACAGAGTGTATTTCACTGACCGTGTAGACACAGAGGGTGTCTATGGAACAGATGTAATTCTTGTTGTCAGGCCATAAGCTGGCATTCTGATTTGTTGTTACCCCTGTGGTACTGATAAGGTGAGACTACCCCAAGAAAAAGTGAGTCCTCTCTTGGTGAAGAGAGTCTGATTGCTGAGCCTACAAGGCTGGACACTAGCATGGGGCCAGCTTGCCAAAGCCTCTGGGAAGAAGTCACTGGCAATTGTCCAGGCAGTACCCTCTACATCTCCAGGTGGCATAGAGTGTTTTTGCTTTTTTTAGAATTTCTATAAACTATACTACATTTAATTTCTATGTAATTTAATCTCACTTTTGTGTTTTTTTATGCGGCTTCATTATTTCCTCTCCTCACTTAGATGATAAGCTTTTTGAGGACATGGACCATGCCATGTCTTGTTTTGTAGTGGGCAGTGATGGTTCTGCCTGTGGAAGAAGAATGAGGTATTTTGTCAATTCCATAATGAGGAATAATGCAACCTAATATTTATTGGAAGTAGCATACAGTGTGAACCATTGCTAGAAAGAACCATGTGTTCCTAGGACTTTTGAAATGTCACCTTTTAATATTCACATCAGTGGAAGAATATGGACAAATAGTAATACAACAGCTACCTAACTATTCGAAGGGCAAATAACAGCAGATATCTGTTTCTCACCTTTAATGTATTTGCATAAATGTAAAGAAAAATAGGAAGAACCAGTAAAAGTACTAAAAGAAAATAAAAGCAATGTGTTTATAACCTAGGTGTGGGTAAAAAGCTTTCTGAGGCTGATATGTCAGGCAGAACATTTTGATAGATTTGACCACCTTGTCTGTGACACCATTGGCAAACTTAGCACAGGTCTGTGCCAAGCATAGGATGAAGCATTTTCCATACATTGTCTGGTTCAATCCCCACAATCCCATGCAGACGATATCACCACCCTCTTCCACAGATGGAGATGATCAACTGAAGACCCGAATGATTCTGCCTGACTGCAAAGCCTGTGCTTCTTACTGTCTCCTTAAAGGCAAAAACACTGTTAAATATTTGAAACACTGAAATTCAATGAAAGCCACTGAAAGCATTAAGATATTTAATGTCAAAAGAGTTCCATAAATCAACAGGAAGAAAACAAACAATCAAGGGGAGAAGAGGGCAAGGGCTGTGAGGAGCAGGATGCATGTCAGTCTGTCACCATGTCTGCTGTCATCTCATGGCTGATGGGGTGTAGGTGGTGTTAGCAAGGCTCTTCTTACCGCACGACAGGAAAATAGTATCTGATGTTTTCTTGTAGTCTTTTTAAATAATATTTCTTGTTATTTATATATATTTTTAAAAATCTGTCTAGTATTGGTTTTATTTGTTTTTAGTGTGCTTGTCTGTTTTTCCCTTACATGAAAATTTAATTGTTTTAAATCTCTTATTGAATGGCTTATTCTTTCTTGACTGATCTAAAGTACTATCTTTGCACTCTAGTCTGTTTATCCAGTTATCTTTTTTTGTACCAGTAACAGTATCACTATGTAATTCCAATTTCTTTATAATATATTTTGATATCTGGTAGGGTAAGCTCCTGCTTTTTTATCTTCTTTTTCATATATTTTATAGCCATTCCTGCACATTTTCTCTACCAAATGTCAGCTGGCCAGTTTTTGTTTAAAAACTCTTAGAATTTGAATAGGATTGCCTTACATTTGTAGGTTCATTTGCAGAGAATTGACATCTTTACAACATTCTAGGAACATGATATCTTCATGTTGTACATTCTTCCTAACATCCTTCAGAAGAGTTTTAATGTTTTGATCATAGGACTTATGCATTTTTTGTTAAGTTTATTTCTAGGTACTTTATGCATTTTGATTGATATTGTAATTGGGACCTTTCCTTAATTTTTAATTAGTCTTTTGTGGTACATAGAAGAGCTCTTGAGGTTTGCATGTGGATCTTTTGATTTCTGGATTTAGCTATCTTACTGAATTATCATATTACTGGACAACAAAATTTTAGTTGATGCTCTTAGACTTCTTGGGTTTTGCATCATTTCATATACTAACATGTTTTGTGTCTTTCTAATACTTAATTTTTGTTGTTGTTGTTGTTAAATTGATTAGGACCTCCTCAACAATGATGAATAGTAACAGTAATAACAGGCATCCTACTCTTGTTCTTGACCTTGAAACAAAGCTGCTGTTAAGTTTCTGGTAGATACTTTTATTTTCTTTTTCTACTTCTAAGAGTTTTTATTTGGAATTATCTGCTGAATATTATCTAAAACAGCCAATGAAATACATTGCCAGCTCCATGCAAGATCCTAAGTTAGGGATTATGGAGGAAGAATCAAAGGAAAATTCCTATCCTCAAAAAAGTTATCATCTTACTTAAAAGGGAGAAAATATAGATTTAGAGATAGAGGTCATTGTGATAAGTAATTGTTATGTTTTTGTCTCCCCAAACAGATTTGTGGTAGAGTAGCACCCAAGGAAGGCAAAGAAGGAAAGCCAAGGTAAATATTAGTCTGAGTTTTTGAAGTAGAATTTTAGAGCTAAAGGAGCATCCTCTTCCTATAAGAGGCCTGAGGTGGCCTCTGAAAATGGTTTGCTACTCACTTGACCCAGAAAACCCCACAACATCATGCAAATCAAGAGCTTTAAATTTTCATGGTCACTTTGAGAACACTCGTGAAACTGCCAGGCCATCAAGGGTGTGCATATCCAAAAAACCACCAAGTATCTGAAGGACATTACTCTACAGAAGCAATGTGGTCCATTCTGTCCTTACAATGGCGAAGTTGGTAGGTGTGTGCAGACCAAAGAGTGGGGCTGGGGGTAGGATTGGTGCCTCAAAAAGAGCACTGAATTTTTGCCGTACATGCTTAAAAATGCAGAGAGTAGTGTTGAACTTGAGGGTTTAGATGCAGACTCCTTGGTCATTGAGCCCACCCCAGTGAACACAGCTCCCGAGATACAGCACAGAGGTTATGGAGCTCCTGGATGGATGGACCCATGCATGAGCTCTCAGACCTGCCACATTGAGGTGACCCCACTGAGGAAGAGCAGACTGTCCCTCCACCAGAGAGGAGGTCGCACAGAAAACACAATATCCTAGAAGAAACTAAAGAAACAAAAACTTGGGAGTAAGTTTATTACAAAATAAATGCTAGGGAAGTGAAAAACAAAAATAAAAAGAACTAGAGGAGAACTTAGAACTCATCTATTTCAATCTCCTCATTTTACAGAGAGGAAACCACTGCATTTGGAAAGAATACTTATTTATGCTAATGCTTTGCCTAGATTTTGCAAGATTAGCTCTCTAGCCAAAGCTGAGATAGAATGGGACTGGTACAGATGTGTCTGCTGTCTCTAGTCCTTTAAGAAAACAGGTGCAAGGGGAGAGGACTTGGTTGTACCTGTTCCTGCTGGTGGTGGAGTCTCTGGGAAAGTGTAGAGAAGGCCTCGTGGTCTTTGGGAAGGGCACTGGTCTCCTTCAAGGATGATGAAAGGTGACTTGTATGAGTCCTTCCTGTAAAGTACCAGGGAAAACTTCCCTTCTCATCCTCCTGGTTCTCAGGCCCCTTCTGTCTCTACTTCCTTTATTGAAACCTCCTAGAATTTTAACTGGGAGAGACCTTAGACAGTAATTTGTCTTTTCCCTTAATAATAAGAAAATGGAGAAGAGGAAAGAGAAAACACCTTGCCCTATGGTCACACTCTTATGTCCAAAAGAAGATGGTGCTTTTCCAGCTGGAGACTTCTCCGCTGGTCATACTGTGCCTGAGCCATGAGCTGCATTTTGTGTCACAGCTGCATTTTGTGTACACACACACCATATAGACATAAGTCGTTTTAAAACAAAATCATTATGCACTCTGATTTTTTTCTATTCCATCTCTATTCAAAAAGAATATTTTGTATTTCAGTGCTGGTTGTGACCTTTAAACTGATTTCACAACTCAGTCAGCAGTGACAGCCTGCAGTATGGAAGGCAACAAGCTAGCTAACTTTGCTATTTGGACTCGGGCATTTACTTGGTGTGATTTAACTTAGAGGATAAATCAGCTAGAAATATAAAAGCTCCTTCTTTCCCCGGCCCCAGGAAATGATGCATGTGAGACTAAGTCTGGGAGGGGCCGATGTAAAATGCTTCTGGAGAGAGTAAACTGCTTCTGCCCAGTGTGGTTGTGCAATTTCCCCCCACTGCCCTTCAGGCACTTGGCCAAGGGCCAAGAAGGGGAGTGGGGTTGAAAATCCTGCCTGTACTCCACGCTGAGCCACATACAGAGGGCTCCCCAGAGACGTGGCATGCTATTTTAAACAGACACAGAGAATCTCTGGAAGCCCAGCATGCAAAAAATCATTTTCAAGGTCCCAGGTCTGTAGTAATTTTGCTCATGAGTATGGACCCAGGTACCCATTTAGTCCTAATGAGGCCTGAGCTATACATTGTGAGAGACATGGAAAAATGCATGAATCGCTAATTGTCGGTATGTGTTTTCCTCCAAGAGGCTTTTTCTCAAGTGTCCTGAATAAGAGGCGTTCACAGGGCAGCAAGATGGAGGTAAATTTGAGGAGGGTGAAGTGCTGGGGCAGGACAAAGCAGGGGACAGGCAGAATTCACGGCTCCCCATCTGTTTTCCAGGCGGGCGGTTTCTGGAGCAGGTTGAAGAGCATATTTGGGACTTCCAAAGCCGTGTCTCAGAGAAGTGAGACACAGGTGCTGCACGAGAAGGACTCCTCTGACGAGGACGAGCCTTTGGACCAAATGTAAATGCTTGGGAATAATTTAGAATTCCCACCTAAGAGGAGGAAACAGTGACTTGTTTAATTGTTCCTTTCAAGAGTAAAAGCTCTGCCTTTCTGCTTCTTCCCTCAGGGAGAAGGGAGAAGGCTCCATCTCTACAGGCAGGACCACTTCGTTGGTAGACACCACCACTGAGTGAGCGAGCCCCGTTACCAATAAATGTTTTTCCTCTGTTAAAATATGTTCATTCATAACTGCCTCTGGCCACGAGGTAAGGAATTAAAATGTAAATAGTATATATATACTACACACACATATATAGTATACACTATATATATTGTATTATATATATATAAACAAAGGCCATAGACAAGAAAAGCAAGGCTGAAGCAGAATTCCCTGGAGCAGCCAGCAGCCAGCACTTCCTCCAGCAGCAGTGTGGTCAAACGAGGCTGAAGAGGTGTTTCTCTCCCTCATTGCCCCCCATCCAGTCAGTCCCCGAGACCTGGAAAACACATCGTCCTCCAGGGATGTAGGTTACTCAGTCCAGTGACAATTTATCCTGGTGCTCTGTCCCCTGGGTCACCAAGTGCCAGTTATGCACAGCATACTTGACTTTTGTCTGTAGGGGGTCATCCCGTTCTGGCCCCCCATCAGGTCTTTGGGGTTGTCAATATTAAGATCCCTGAGCCAGCCTTCACGGTGGGGCCTCTTTTCCCCCAGGCTCACAAACTCGTGCACAAATGTGTGCCCTGTCTTGGTGTAGTAGGTTCTCCACGCTTATAAGCTAGTAGAAAGTTCACATTAGGTTTTTGGGTTTTCTTTTTTTAATTAAAAAACTCCCCACTGTTGGGGAGCCAGCAAGGAGATGCAGGAGAGATAGGATAAAGAAGAATGTGTGAGAGTAGCAATCTCTTCAAGATCCTTGTACCTTTGCATTGTTAAGGTATGTGAATGTGCTTATTAGGAAAGAAAACATTAAAAATCCAAAACAAAATACAAATCAATAGGTATGAAAGTTGTATTAATTTCCTCCCACACCCTCTTTGGAAGCCCCAAGTCAGCCCTTGGAAGAAGGTTTGGAGGGAACAACAAGGGGGCGTAACCCCCTCTTCCCGGGCAACCACCACCACCACACTCAAGCAGGACAACAGCCAGCCACTGGGGTTGATCCACCGGTGGCTCCAGCTACTCAGGACTCAGCCTTGGTTTGGCCATTTTTCAGCTCTGGGACATCAGGTGGTTTACTATCAGCTGGTCACGTCAGGGGAGGTGAGTGTCTGCTACTGCTACATGCAAGACATTTTGCTAAAAAATGCAGAGGATATAAGATTGACATAAGGATGTAGAACCCTTCATTTCCTATAAAGGTAGGACAAGTATACATAAGGCAGACTGAATGTCATTAAGAAAAATAAAATATCATGTAAGGCATAAGTATACATTTGTTTTTTAAAGGAAGCCCAACCACAAATTGTAATTTAACTCAGCATATACACAGCCATCAGTCCCAGATATTATTTGCTAGGCCTTCAAAGGGAAATGAATGTTAGCTTCACCCTCACAATCTCATCCAACCCTAATTGCTTGCCAAAAGAAATAAGAGTATTGCATTGGGTGGTCGGGTTTCAACGTATGAATTTGGGGGAGGAGAACACACACACTGGACCACAACGTTTCCATTTTGGACTTTTACACACCAAAAGTGTGAGAGAATAAGTTTCTGTTGTTGAAGCCAAGTCTGTGGTACTTGGTTACTGCAGTCCTAGGAAACTAATACCGACTCCAACTACCCCTCAGGAATGGTTTTGAACTTCAGTGATTGGTGGGAATGAGACATCTTCTCAGGTCTCTTGATTAATAAAAAGTTAACTCTAAATGGCATGTATATGTAACTTTTCTTAATCTTTAGCGAATGAAAGAATTAATACCTTCACAAAGGAAAATTTCTCAGCCAGGTGCCACAATTAACTCACAGTTTGGGGCTGGCAGGATAGAATCTGCATATTTTCAACCACCCCAGGGAGCTGTGCTATTGGTAGGTGATCCCCAGACCACCAGAGACAAAGAACTCTTGAAGATCCCCAGATCAGGTCAGTTTATTTAAAAATATAAATAAAATGTATTGCCCAGACCACAAATGCAAACATGATGCAATTAATCAAATAAATTGTTTTCTAGGAATCTGTCCACAAGGAAAAAATTGATGAAAGAAAAAACTCAGAAACTCACACTCAAACTCCAGATAACTGAATATTCCTAATCCTTTTTTTGTTGGCTGGGCAAGTCCAAGTCACAGCATCAAGGCCGGTGTTCTGACTGACTGCTGCTCTCTGTCAGTGGGGATGCTTGCCAGCCGTAAAACAGCAGGTGGGAGCACACCCCCTGCCCCACTGGAGAAAAAAAATTGTTTAAGGCAGAGACTTAGAAACAATCATCTGGAAACAGTGAACAAATTCAAAGATCAAGGGGCTTGTTCTTCTGGAAAACCAATCAATAAAAAACATAATTTTTGATATTTGTTTGCTCTTGTATTATTTATTAAAGAACCAATGATGTTAAAGTAATAAACCAACTTACTGCCACAAATGTCATTGAAAACAAACTCTTTAAATTTTCTTTATTTCCAGTCCGTCCAAAGACAGCATGATTGTCTGCCACCTTATTTTATTTTTGGAAAAAGTCTTATTGTGTTTTCCAGTTGAGTTCTAGTAAGCCAGCCAACATCTCACTGATATCTCATGTATTTTTGAAATTTAAAGTCTGGGGTTAAGGGAAGAAAGTAATTTCAGATTAAGAATTACATAAGTAGTTACATAAGTAAATAATTACTTAAGTAGATATAAACTTACCCACGGTAATAAACAGTAAAATGGAAAGAAATATATCAGGAGCTCAGAAAATGCCTTTCTGAGAGGAGAACAACTAAGCTAACCATAAAATGAGCAATGTAAGGTTGAAAAGGAAAAGAGAAGTACAGGTGAGGGAAATAGCTCATGCAAAGGTCCTGAGGCAGAAAGTCCTGGCACATGTCAGGCACTGCGTGTGGCTGGAATCCTGAGAGCAGGGCAAGGGAGTACTGATAGGGCTGGGAGGCAGATGGGTCAGATTGCACAGGGCATACACAGGCCATGCTGTGGACATAGGCTTTATTCCGAGGACAACGGGAAGTCTTTGATGTGTTTTAAGCAGGGAAAGCAGCTTTTACATTTTGGTAAGTGCACTCTGAGTAGTGTGTAAAGAATGGATTCAGGAGGCCTAGGGTGGAGAAACCTGTTGAGAGGCTGGCTGCAGTCCTCCAGGTGGAAATGACCAGAGCTGGACACAGCTGTAGCCATGGGAATGAAAAGGAGATGATCTCTTAATGATGGGAGTGGCTGGCTGGGACTCTTGCTCATTTGGCAAAGTGGATCAAGTAGGGGCTGGGAGCCGCAAGCTGCTTACTGCCCTGAGGAAGCCTGGAGGAGCAGTTCCACATTCCCAGGTAGACAAGATTCATGTCTCAGTTCCCCCGGAGCTGATCACTCTGATACCGAATGGCAACAGCCATCCCCAGCTGTGGTCTTCTGCTAACTGGGCAGGCCTGTCCTCTTAGAGTATGGCTAATAAAACACATGACTTCAAAGTGCTAGCCTCACTGAGCCTGCATGTCTTCATTCACAGATGGGAACTCGGGCCCCAGGGCTGTGGTGGGATCAAATGAGATGTTGTCTATGGAGTGTTCACGCAATACCTGGCATGGAGTGAGAGCTCCACAAACCTAAGCGTCTTTTCTTCCTCCTGTGACCCAGGTACCTCGCCTCCCTGGTGGGCCAGCTGACAATGCTCTGTCTGTAGAATTACAGGTGGGGAAGGAGGATGAAGCATGTGGGGGAAGGGAGGGGCTATGTAATATAGGATGTTCAAGGAAGGCCTTCCTGATGAGGTGGCATTCGAGCAGAGCCCCAAAGGGAGCTGACTGGTGTGGGAGAGGAGTATTCTGGCAGAGAGAATAGACACAAACCCCGGGGGCCTGGCCCTGCCTCCTGTGTCTGGGGATCAGCCAGCAAGACATTGAACTGGAATGGAGGAAGCGAGGGAAGAGGTAGATGAGGTCAGACGGTAGGGCGGCTGGTGGGCAGAACCTTGTGGGCATTGCAAGGACTTCCACTGACTCTGAGATAGGAAGCCATTGAGGGGTTTTGAGCAGGAGAGTGACGTGATCTGACTTATGTTTGAAAAAGATCATTGGCTCTCCTGTTGAGATTATACACATGGAGACCCTTAGGAGGCTATTTGAGTTGTCTTGAGAGAAAATGGGTGCTGGGGTGGCAGCCGAGATGGCAGTGAGCGCCCAGATTTTGGATGCAATGAAGCAGAAGATATGTGCCGTGGGAAAGAAAGAGCAGAATCACAGATGACTACAGGCTGTTGTGCCAATCAGCTGGAGAGGTGCAGCTGCCATTTGTGGAGACGAGGAAGGCAAAGGAGGTGCGGATCTGGGAGCTTTCAGGAGTTCACTTTGGGACCACATAATTTTGAGAAACTATTAGACACCTTAGTGGAGATGTTTGGGCTGAGGAGGAATAATTTCGGAAGTTTCAGCCTGTAGGGGAGTAAGGAGCCTGGTGGAGATCACCCAGGGAGGGGGCCCGACAGAGACATGTTGGGAGGACGGCGCCCCGTATGGACTTTATGGTAAAATGGGAGAAATGAGCTCTATACCACAGCGACGTGGGATGATGGAATGATACTGTGTATCGTGTAGCGCACTTCACACAATTTGTGTCACAGAGTAGGAGGTGCTTTAAGCTCCTTTCTTCATCCTGCAGGTAGACAGGTTCGCCTTGCTGTGGTAGGTGGCTGTGGGTTACCTGTATGGCATTGGGTCTCATGTCTTTGTGTCCCTGCTGCTCAATCTGTCTGCAGCCGTGTTGACCAGCTTGGTCCTCTAGCTTCAGAGAATCTTTTGTGCCCGACGGCTCACTGCCCCTTCACCCCTGTGCTCCCTTTCCAGGGGCCCAAGGTCTTTCCCGACCCCTCACTGATTCTTGTCCCCTCAGCTTTGGGATCTGAGAGTCCCCTGAAGCTTCAGTCCCATTTTGGAGTGAATGTGAAGAGTTGCAGAGAACCAGTTTTCAGTTCTCTGGGATCTGAGTGAGAGTGTGAGCCCAAGTGCATTAGGGCTCTAAGGATGAGAGTTTGGAGAAACAAGCCTCTCCCACAAGAGTTTAGGATTGAGGCAGAAAGTCATGGTGAACCTTCCCCAGGGGCTGAGTTGGAGGGCAGGACCACACCAGTGGCCCCGAGCCCCTCCCCTGGTCTCTATCCAGTGAAGCGAGGTTGCATCCAAGTCACCGTCACACTAGGCAGCAGACTCTGAAGAGACCACAGCACTTCAGTGGTTGGTGTGAGAGGCTTTGGGCAAGGAGGACCGGGGGTGCCATTTACACTAGGTCCTGAAGGGTGGAAGAAAAGTGAATGTTTTAAATGGCTGAGGTGAGGGGAAGAGCTTTCAAAGAAGGGTGAGTTGCAGCCCCCACGTGGACAAAAGGAATGAGGAGGTGTGTTAGGTGTGCACCTCAGCTGCCCACTTCACGTGCGAATAAACAACATTTCACACGGTTGTCAGCGTTCTCACACTGCTCCCTTGATGTAAGGCCCTGCATAAGGGGCTACGTGTTTTCCCTGCTTCCAGACCGAGCTCTGCCCCGTCGCTCCACTGTTCAGGTCAGTTGATAGTGAAGTGTTTAGAGTGGCACCTGACACACAGTGAATACCACAGAGTTGTCTGTACAGTAAAAGAAATCACCAGGCTGTCTTGGGAGAGAACACATTTAAACCAAGTTCCCATTCTATAGCATGATTTTATTTCAGCTGGGTGCTCTCGAGGGGAAGGCAGGTGCTGTCTGGGAGCCAAGTGCCCTCAGGCCACTGAGGCGGGATGTCATGGCAGAGCTCCAGCAGAATTCACCAGAGCCTAGGGGCCGAGAAGAGCAAGAATGGGCTTCCATTCAGGCCAGGACAATGCCTGGGGGACGCTGGGCTCTGAGAGGGTTGCTTGGGGAGGGGAGGTAGTCTGCAGTGTCTTCTTATGATCCCCGAGCTGTGGTGGCCCCAGTTCCCGCAGATCACGTCTACTGGAGTTCCAGATGTTCTATGTACTGCTGCACCCAGGCATCACTGGGGTTGGCACAAATATGTCTCCCACGTCTGGTGAGGAAGCTGTGGAGCAAGAAGAAAGATGAGGAACTGAGAGTTTACAGCCAGGAGAGAAGCCCATCCCACCCCCTATTCTATTTCAAGTGTGAAACTCCCCATCCCTCTCTTGCAGAGAGACCCCCACCCACATTTCCCACCCCACCCCACTCTCCTGGTGGAACTGCCTGGCGGCATCTCCATCTTTCCCAAACCCTCTCTATCCACAGGCACCAGCTCCAACCACCTCCCTGAAGGCCTAGCTCAGGCCTAGAAGTCCTCCCCTCAGCAGCCTCCTCTTAGTGTCCCAACCCCCTGCATCCCTCTCCCGGGCCCTACTGGTTTTCTTCATTTGCACCCCCTTCCATCATCAGCCAGGCTGTACTTACATGACCCCTGGGGTGAGGCACTGGGTTGTAGTCAAGTAATAATCTTTCACAAAACGGAGTGGGATTCTCCGAGAGGTGAAGGAGAAACAGCAGCGAGTAACCTGGTCCTGAGTTGGTCCTACAAGGCAGAAACAGACTGTATGATGCTGAAACTCTCTACAAGGAAGCTTAGACCTGTATCTCTATTCTGAAGAGAGAGCATCAGGGAGGGGTGTGGGGGGCGGGGAAGAGACAAGACAGGAGCCCCTGGGAGGGAGTGTGGCCTGGCCTCTCTGGCCCCTCTTTCTTTCCCTCCATCTCTTCAATCAGCCTCCTCTAAGTCCTCTCCTCCCCCTCTGCTGCCAGCCCCTCCTGACCTCTCCTTTTGCAGACCCTTCCCAGGGCTGGGAAGTGACTCGGTGACCGCGGTGTTTCAAATTTCTGATCGGATTTGGGAATAAGAAATCAGAATTCCTGGGAACTCTCAAAATCATAAATTATTCTGTATTTGTCATAACACCTTATTTTCATGTTTTTAAATAATAATGAATGACGATGTAGTAAACAATGAATCACTTTTCCATGATAGGGCTGCACGAAAAGTTTCAGAGGTTTTCTATGAAAGATATAATAAATGCAAGGTTTATTATTATGGTGTGTTGTGACAAGATTATACATTCAATAGCATGTTGAAGGTTCTCGGGCAGATACAGACAGAAATAGAAAACAAGACAAGAAGAAAACAATGCAAAATAAAAACAATTTAAAAATTGAAAAAATACAACTATTTAATGGTCAAAATACTTAAGAGTTGTCATTCAAAAATGAACATTTAAAAGAATGGCAGCAGTGATTGATCTATTTGTATATAATCTTTATCTCTGGCGACAAATATTCTGGACACAGAACATTTTTTTCACTCTGTGTCGATGCTGGCTGAATTGTTGTTAGTATGTCCAAAAGCATCTCCATGTTCTGTGTCAGAGCGCCTAATGCTTCACGTAAGGTCATTTCCTTTTTTAATGATGGACATGTATTGTCTGCTTGTCCTAACTTTGGTTTTTCCATTCAGATTGATATTGCCTTTGCTAATTTAGATTTTATATACAAATTATCAAACATTTCTGGTTTTATCTCCCAGTATTCCATGACATTTACATATTTTCTCTTAGTAGTTCATCTGTTAAATCATTTATAAAGAGCTATGGCTTATAGCAATTACTCAAATCCTGGACAATGTCATTGAATATTATTATTCAAATAACATCATATTCATTCCTGATAGCAAGAATCACAGTTGAAATCGACAATTTAAGGACTTACTTTGCTTCTGAAACTTATTTCTTGAAACACCACTAACATGAAGCTCACTAACATTTACTTAGCAGCACACAGGGCCGTGAACTTACACTTGAAACATGGCAAGGGCTTCAGGCTAATAGACTGTGACCACTTCTCTCCTGCATGCTCCTGTCCTGATTCCCCAAAATGTTGATCTTGACTTTGAACTCCATGTGTCAAATGTTGCCCGCTCTTGCTTTTGATATCAATGCATTACTTTAAGTCAGTAACATCTCCAGATTGATTGTTAAACTTTAATTCTTCCAGAAGAATTATAATACTGTTTCTCAACTGCATTTTCTTGAGACTTAGGTTTTGGAAAAACATAGAATTTGCTAAGAAGTGCTAGGACGGAATTCCCATGTGGAAATGCGAGTGAGTGCCCAGGGTGGGCACTGGTGCCCGGTGTATGACAGGGTCCTCCCTCCCAGGTCTCAGGGGGAGGTTGGTACAGGGGGTCCTTGTGCCCAGAGGAGTGGAGCCTTGCCTATAAAATGAAAACGCTGAACTTGTCTTGTTTCTACTCCTGAAGCTGCGTGACTCTGGACAGGACACTCAGCCTTTCTGAACTTGTTTGTATCCTTAAAATGGCAAATCACATGGATGGGGCAAGTACCGTGCACATTGATTTATATACCCGTGATTGTTCTGTGCAGCAAAGGCCTCGCTTCCCCCATGTAACAGACGAAGAGGCCGAGGCTCAGGAAGCCTGCGTGAGGCACAGCAGGCCGCAGCTGGCCCGTGCGGAGCCTCCAGGCAGCAGAAGCGTCTGTTTCTGCCCACCCTGGATTCCAGCACATTCACTGAATGGGTGGCACAGAACAGGCTTTTAATATCTATTTGCTGAGCGAATTCAATTAGAATCTATGTCTGTCTGACTATAAGGCCAATTATTTCTCCATTTTGTTTTGCTGTTGTCTGGAGGGGGAAAAAAAGATTTCATTTATTGTCTCTGCTATGGGCCCAGTACATGGCTTCCTCCCTGTCTTATCTCTATTCCTCACAGCAGCCCTCTGGGAGAGCATCCCTCACCCCTTCTGCAGAAGAGAAGTTATGCAATGATAACTGGAATTATAGGGAAACATTAAGGAGTTCTATAGCTAGTTGCAGTCAAAATTCCTGGAAAATAGGTCTCTTTCCCTGGACTAGTAGGGATGTCCAATGAGAGGCTCAGGACCCACCCAGCATTTTCCCATCTCTGGCTTTGGTGGGAATTCAACTCGGGAGAGGAGTTCCCTGGGAAATCTCCCAGAGCCCCCGCTGTACCTCCTTCTCTCCTGGCTTCAGGCCCCTGACAGGAGGCAACCTTGCCCGCTTAGGGCAGAATGGGCAGTGAGCCGGGAGACTGGGACATCTGGTGCCAACCTCGGCCTCTTTCAGAGTCACTTGCTGCTTCGTCTTCTTGTGTCCCACAGATATTCATTGAGACTTACTACCACCAGGAGGGGGTCTGTGCCAGACTCACAGCTGGACAGATCTTACAGGGAAAGGAGAGAGGCTGACACCAGCTCGAGTCTGCTTGGTCTTCCATATTTGCAAGAGGAATAGGCAACACAGATTTTTTAAATGTTTCCCATTTTTAAAGGTTGGCAACCAATTCCAAGGTTGTAAAACCCCCTCCCAGCAGTGAAGACAGCTTGTTGTGGCTCCTGTGGCTCCCCAGGAGGTGGCTAAGCAGGTAGCCTAGAAGGCTCTGGACCAGCTTCTCTCTGCTGGGACCCCGAGGGCCAGGGAGGCTCTCTGCAGAGGCGGGTTTTCCTCTCCCTGGAGGAGGGAGAAGGGAGCCCTGCCCAGGAGTGGGGCGAGGCCCCTGGTAAAGGTACCACCTGTTTTCCAGGGACCCCCAGGCAACCTTTTCTGGACCACCCACACCTCCTCTCTGCAGCTCTCAGCCTCTTGCCACCGTGTTCCCTTTGTTCAGAGGAATGAAAGTCGTGGCTCTCACCTTCATTGGCCTCAGAGTGGAGGGTGGCCACGGCAAGCAGGAAGGTTAGGAGAGCCAGGCTGGCCTTCATCCTTCTGGCTGGTGACCGGCTGCAGGAACAGCGCTGGGTTCAAGACTTCTGGGTTCTCTGACTCCTCAAAGTCTGGGCTCTGAGCCTCCTTTATACTATAAGAGGTTGCTGGTCAGGAAATCACAAGATAGAAAAATCCAAGATGGCATGAGTGATCTGTTTCTGAGGATTTTAACTGCTGACGCATCTAAAAGTATAAGACATGAGTCAATTTATTAAAAAAAAAAAAGTAGACAGCAGAAGATGACCCCAGGTTTCACATTCGGCTTGTGTCCTGAGGGTAGAAGTCGGGGAGCCCAGGGACCAAGGGCTTTGTGGCAGAGACTGCCCTCCACTCCTGCCATTCCCCAGAGAAGCTGGCTAAACCTTGTTGGTGAGCCCATCCTCAGGGTTCAGAGGCCATGGGTTCAGAGGCCTCGGCCACTGTCTCAGCCGCTCCAGGCCCAACAGGACAGGGATGTGGACTCAGGCCTGATGGGGGCTGGGAGTAGGGAGAAGGCTCTGGAGGGGCCCCTGGGATGGATGGGCCTCACCAGCCAGGATTGGACTGGAACCCCTCACCTAAGCTGAGCTGAAGGCCCCTGCTCCCTGCCCAGCACAGGGAGCTCGGTCAGATCCTTAGCAACCAGGGAAGGTGCACAGGGCTCGCTGCTCCATCAGGACTGCTTTGGGGCCTGGGGCTGAGGGATGAGTTCCTTCCGGTCAAGCTGGGGAGCGGGGGCAGGGCACTGAGGCTGTGTCATATATCATTTGGGCCAGGACAGGGTGCAGGTGCCTTCATCCCCTCCTGTCCCTGGAAGGGACTCAGGGGCCGTACCCACTGGCACAGCTCCTGAGGGCATCATTCACAATGCAGTGATCGGATCCGTCACCCCCTGACCCCCAAACTGAACACAATTCTGTAAAATACCATTGTATCTTGTCACCTTTAAGTTTGGGCTGCAGGGTCCCTGCACAGCAACACGTGGTTTAGAGACTAGGAGGTAGTGTGACCAGCCACCCTGCTTTGCCAGGGATGAAGGGGGCTCCTGGAATGTGGGACTTTCAGAGCCGACATGGAGAGGAGCCGGTCATCCTGCTGGGAGGCTGGGCAGATGGGTCTCTCTGCCACTTCCACTCCCACCAAAAGCAGACTAAGCAGTTGTGGGCTTTTTTTTTTCACTATTTTTTATGCTGGTGAAACACAAATAATATAAAATTTGCCATTGTCAGTATTTTTAAGTGGTATTAAGTGGTCAGTGGTATTGGGCACATTCATACGTTGTGCAATCATCATCACCAATCCATCTGCAGAACTTCTTTTGTTTTGCAAACTGAAGCTCTACACCCATTAAACATAACTCCCCACATCCCACTTCTCCCAGCCATTGGAAATCACCGTTCTACTTTCTGTCTCTGAGAAACTGACTGTTCGAGGAAGCTCATATTTATAACTGGAATCACACAGCATTTGTCTTTTGGTGACTGGCTTATTGCACGTAGCGGAGTGTCCTCAAGTTTCATCCATTCTGTAGCACATGTCATAATTTCTTTACTTTTAAACACTGAATAATATTCCCTTGTATGTGCATACCTATCCTGCTTACCCATCCATCTGCTGATGGACACTTGGGTTGTGTTTCCACACTTAGCTATCACAAATAATGCTGCTGTGAAGACAGGTGTACAAATGTTGTTTTGAGACCCTCTTCCCATGAGTGCTTTGGGATGTATACGCAGAAGTGGGATGGCTAAATCACATGGTAAATCTTTTTTGTTTTAAGGAACTGCCCGACTGTTTTCCCCAGCAGCCGCACTGTTTTTGCATTCCTATTAACAATGCACAAGGGTTCTCATTTCTCCAACTCCTGGCCAACACCTCTTTTCTGTTTTTGTTTTTTTGGTAGTAGCTATACTAATGAGAGTGAGGTGGTATCTCGTGGTGGTTTTGGTTCTGTGTTTTTGATCAGTTTTATATAATGCACTTCCAGGGAAGCATGTTAGCAAAAAAATGTTCTTCTACTAAAAAGAAAAATTTAAACTCCAAAGAGCAGGACCTTTGAGCTAGTCCAAGGTATTGATTTTAGTCCCGAAATCACCACTTATGAGCTAGGGGACCATATGAGTGATATAATTAAGCATTGAAAGTGACACATGGTTACTGAAAGGAATATGTAACATAAACGATCTGAGTGAGTGAAATCTTCCTCCTGTGTCCACACTGAGACCTTCCTCAGGGCTGACGTTTGTTCACTCGGTGGATGTTTATTGACCTTTTACTATACGCCAGGCACTTTCTAGGCCCTGGGGACCCAGAGATGGACAAGAAAGGCAAGATCCCTACTCTCCAGGTGCTCAAGTTCTAGTGGAGGAGACAGACAAACAAGGTAATAGAAGATGGAGTTAAAAGCTAGGAAGAAGCGAGATGCAGACTGATGAGTCTGCATCCCATTTCACTGCCATCCCTTTCACGCGGGCGCTGCAGAGAGCAGCAAAGCAAGCTGCTGCGGCTCATATTCTAGTGGGGCCCTGGGTAGCTGTGTCCTGAGAGTAGGTGTGTGGATTTAACACGAACACTTGTTAGCTGTTTTAATGAAAAACAATGAAGAGAAGGTCATGGATTCCTTTCCTCTTAGACTTCACTCTCTCTCTCCTACATGGATGGAGGGGGATGAGCTGCCTGCTTTCTCCCATCAAATTGAGGACATAAGAAGGGAGACAGATTGACCCCTAGATGGATGCCTCTGGCGGTTGTCTTTCTCCTCCCTGCAGACTGTGGGCTACTGTGGGTGTACAGGAGGGGGAGGGTGGCAGACAGTGGCCTTTGTCCCCTTGGCTATCCTAGCTGAACATTGGATGTGGGAGATACGGGAAACCACATGGGCAGGAAGGTGGGAGAAGCTGACTTGCATAATTGCTTGGGTCTCTCTGGGTCCCTGAGTCCAAGTTGCTGATGACACTGAGTCATCTGACTTCCAAGCTTTGGTAGGCAACAGGCACCCTCCTGCTGGAGCTTCAGTCTTGCTTGACTGACTCTACTTCCCTGGTTCAAAGGAGAAGAGCTGGAGTGAGGGAGGGGGACTTGGGGAAGATTAAGCCTCAAAGTTTGTTTTTGGTTTTGCACACTGGCACGTACAACCATGGTGCCCATTCACGATAGAGTATACATCAGCTTCCTGAATTTTACTCTTCCTGTCTGATCCCACGGTGCTTTTGTTGAATGCTGGAGATCAGATCGTTTGACTATAGCTCTTTCCAGTCCAGCCTTCCTCAGATGTTTGTGCTGCCAGAGAGGGAAGTGGGTCCATCTATACTGATATGTCCTAGCTGTACCCACCCATGCTGACTTGCAGTGAACACTTCCTTTTTTCAGTGCCAGTGAAGGGTTTCTTACCAAGAATTGTATAGGTAGAGAATCTTGCCCAGAACAGAGGTAGCCGACCAGTCTTAAGTTTCTGGAATCCATCTTCTTACTCCCTTCTTTTTTGGAAAGCTGGTTGCTGTGTGCTTGTTGTCTTCAACATTTGACAACCTTTCTGCCTCCCAAGAATCCAGGACTATCACGCTCTAACTGTACATTGTCTCAGCTGCTAGAAAAGACTTCATCCAACCAAGGAGTAAAATGCCATGCAATCTACCTTCTCATGGTGGTCTTCATTTTCTTCTTAATTATGAGAGTAATGCCCTTTCCAGACTGTAATGGACAGTGAAGGGACAAGCACAAATAGGAGACGAGGTGCCCTTCTACCTGTTCAGTCAACACTCTGTTCATAACTCACTCATTCATTTGTTCTATAAATAATTACTGAATGCATACTATGAACTGAAGACTGTCTAGGTACCAGAGATTCAGCCATAAACAAGAAGGATTGATGATGTGGATCCTGGCTGGCAGGATCCATGAGTTGTGGCCATAATGAACAAATTCACACAGACTACAGAAGTCCTGTGGAGAAAAAGGGACGGCATGGCCACTGTCTAAGTGAGAGAGAGGGCCTGATCCCTGCCTGGACAGGCTTTTGTTGCTTTTCTGGGTACAGTACATGGAGGATGATCCTCATTTACTATGCACAGGTTCACTGTAGGTGATTACCTTTTACAGATAACAAAGGAAAGAATGTTGCTAATTCAGAGAGAAAGATGTTACAGATCAAGGGGAAAAGTGGTTGAACTGGTTACACTCCCTACTTGGGAGGTTTAGCACAGATTTTAGGAAGTTACTTTAGAAATATGCAGTAAACATTTTGCTGCCTCAATTCAGGGTGAGGGAGTTTTAGCACAAGCAAGTCTCATAGCAGCGTAGGTACAATGCAAGCCTGATTCCCCATGGGAGAACCTGTCCGTGGACTCAGGTCCTGTGTTCCGGACCTCACTTCCCACTGGCCTTTCAGAGTGGGGGTTGGGCTACATTCCCACGCCACGTGGAATGGTTTCCTATAGATTGGGTCTTCTGTGAATTTAAGCAAGCGTTGGGTCTTTTGGCAGTTCCTTCTTAAAACGAAACAAGATGAAACAGAAGCTTTCTTCAGCATTCGTTATTTAAAAAGCAACAGTGTGGAGAAATTTAGAAATACTCAAGCAAAAGAAGCAAGCAGAAATCCCCCTGTGGCCCCACAGTAACATTTTTGGATCTATTGTTGTCTTTTTTCTCCCCAGATGAGGTCATACCAACACCCCATCCAAAATTTTAAAAAGCCAACAATTTCATAGCCCGTGCTTTGACATATTAGGAACAATTTTATTTTGTTATCAATTCTGATATGTAATTTAAACTATTTTTAAACAAAATGGTGCACGCCTTTTCTAGAATTTTGAAGAAAATCAAAGAAGAGGAAAAAGCTCACTGTTTACCACTATCACTATTTCAGCATGTAGTTGTCTGGGCATTGTTCTCTGTGTAATCATTACAGGCATTATACACATATACACTTAAATGAAAATGGGGTCATGCTAATGTCCTTTTCTACAATCTGATTTCTATAGTTTGATAATTATCTTTATTTAACATTGGGGAGACATAA